TTGCATACTACCGGCTCGTTTACTTGTTTAATTTTGTTAGACTCCAGTTAGATTTCAATCCTAGGTGATTTCAATTTTAACAGCGGTTCGACAGTTCTTCGAACACTAACCGAATCGAGCAATGTTTCAGATGGTCCTTAACAATTGCTGCAATGCACCGAGTTGTGGTGGGTACGATGTCTAGACGCAGTTGCGCGCTTTACATTTCCTATTCCATATTATATTTGCGAAATCCAAGGTCCAATGCAAAAGAAATTAAAATGGGACCGCCATTAAAATGTCTTCGTCCCAAAAAAAAAAAAAAAAAGAATAAAGATATTTCCAAAACGAGTTCTGAATGTCTGATTTCTGTAAAAAAATCTCCTACTTCTTGAAGACTGTTAAAAGCCATTTCTTTCCTATGTCATTTATTCCACCGACGATCCATGTTGGTGAAATCTTTTGGAAGTTTTCTACTTTTCAAGATGATTAGACTTCACTTTATTTCTTCAATCACGCCAGACTCATTTGTCTTCCATTCAGTTAGCTCTTTCTTTACCTGCAAGGCTCTTACCTCTTATCCTTGCCGCATTGTGTCCACTGCTTTAAGATTTAAGGGATGATTTAAGATGATTCTTCGGCCGGACGCAGAGATCTTTATTTAACTAGCATTAAATTCGCTCATTATTTCTTTATTGTACACAGATTATAAGTGAAAACAAAGTTAGAAAAAAAATGTACAATGGCGAGCTTAACCCTAAAAAGAGTTTTATTATTGGAAGCCCGGGAAGGTCACAACATTACGAACTTAAAAACTATTACTAAAATAATATGAGAAAGGTTTTCGTATGCGGCACCTACAGACTCACAATCACAAAACTGCTTAAACGTTAAACAAAAAAATTAGAACATAAAAAATTTGAATTTGGGACCTGACAAAAAGCTATCAGCTATGGTGATATGAATCCGAATGCTAAAAAATAATAAATCGCTCCTTAATCAATGAACTGAAAATCCAATCACATGTTTTCATAACTTGTATTTATCTACAAAAAAGGCAAAACAAAAACAATAAATAATTTTCATTATACTTTATTAAAAAAAAACTTTTAAACCAGAATTTCGATAACATTTTAATAATATGAAATATGAAAACTAGTTTGTGGCAATCGTTACAATAATGAGTATTACAATATGAATTGAAAAATATGGCGCCTGAGTACATAACGAGGGGCAAATGAAACCATAAAAAAATCAAACAACACTTCAAGAGAAAAAAAATTGTAAAATAAACAATTGCCTACACCCAAATTTTAAATGAAAGATTAGCGAACTGAAAATATTGAATTACTGAATAATAAATACTATTCAAGAACCTAAGCGGTATATTTTGTCAAAAAGTCTTAAAAAATCTTGATGTGCACTAATATCACAAATATTAAAAAATCAAAAAGACAATCGCTAGTGGTCGTGCTATATTGCACGACCACTAGCGATTGTCTTTTTGATAAAAGATTAGAAAAAGAAATAAAAATAGGTCGAAATTAATTTAAATTTATAATTTAACAGAAAACAAATTGGAACGGCAGGAAAAAGGACTTTGTCATATAAATGTGTCCGTAAAGTTAATGTAAAAATATTAACACTGATTCAATTTCGATAATACAACTTTACAACGTGAAACTTCAACTCCGATTCAAAAATATGTAACAAAAACCGAGAAGGGCATATGTTTATATGTACAAATAGCCTCGCTTTATGCAAGGCTTCGTCCCATTAAAACACTAAAATTAGCACATACACTCGAAAACGCGAATGGCACAAGATAATACAGTTTGAACAATTTCCAAGTTTCTCCTGCGCTAAACGGGCGGACACGTTACGTATGTAAGGCACCATGTTTTTTTTCCTACGCACGAAAAGACTTCACAGAGAAAAGAAATTAGCACATATAATGTATTGTTGCGTTATTGCTTCCATATTTTAATGACAAAAAAACTAATGAAACACAATATTTCAAAACTTCAATAAATTACCTTTAACAAATATTTCGCACCAATTTTCTACGAAATTTATGTTCTCTATGAAAAGTCTTCCACTACACAACACTATGAAAATGAAACCTCATAGATATATGCTACGGACAACTGTATCCGTTATCAACAGGCCGTCTGGAGAACCTTTGGTCTTTAATAAAATAACACGTGCTTTGATTTAGCACGCGTCGAGTCCAATTTATTGTTAATTTTTTGCATGAAAATTTCAAAGGAACAGGATAAACTAAAGTAGTTATAAAGAACCACCGATAAACGATAATATTTTAAATTTTTAGACTATAACTAAGTGGAACGTAAAACTTATCGAAAGGAATATAAGAATAAGATTAACATATCTACAGGTGAGTATATTTTAGAGTTGAGTTGAATAATGTTTCTATTAAGTTTAAATTCCACAGTAGCGTTTAGTCTAATTATCATAATTATAACTATCACTATCGTTAAAAGGCTAACATTACATTTTGGTATGTTACTTATATGTTAAGTCAATAAATTAGTAAAATCAGTCTATGCTAAGTGAAGTCGGTGGTTAGTAAGTAAAGACGAAGTGAACGGTGTCAGTGAGCTTTGGAATAAAATTAACTTATGCGAACCCTGACAAAAGGAAAAAAGCTTAAATACGAGCACCTGTTAGGAACGATAAACTGTATTACCAATTGAAGAAATCACTAACAATAAGTTACAATGTTTTAATTCTGATGTGATTAGTTGATACAGCTTTATATAAAATGTCTGCATGTCTCTGTGTCGGAATCATACACAAAAGAGGAATTATTAAAACGATTCGATTTATTTGACATCCACTTTTGAGAGCCTTATACTTCTTTAGAAATCAAATGAGATTAATGTCGTATTGAATGTTTAAATTTTTTATTTTATTTCATTTACTTTTACATATTTTCATGGGTTTTTATAAGCCTAAGAGTTGAATTTTATATGACGTATTATGATTAAAGATTAAAAGTTTACGACATTATGCATTAATCTCTAGCTAAATATTTGTAACCAATTATAGTGGCAAACATTTGAAGTGGACGTCTACAAGTTACATAATCTCGAGTATTTCGACAGAGCACTGGTCAGATGACATCATTCGATCGGAGCGTACAATTCACACTTTGTTCGTAAAATGATCAAGGGTAAAGCGGAACGACGGCGAGCGTTCGAAACCTAACACTAATTTAAAAATTCGTAACATTAACGCTATAATCACACAAACATACAAATGCAAACACCAGCTGGACTTGAGCAAGTATTTCGCGTTAAGGTGAAGCAACACATCGCCACAAGACTGATAACGTAGATTTAGTTCCATTGATGTAGAGAAATTAAGTACGGAAATATAAGAAACACTAAATCAAATATATTACAAAATCCTATTTGTGATCTTGAAATTAGAACGAGACATCAACAATATTGCCAACGAAATTATGACAAAAACAAATGGCAGATAAGTTAAGGGGAAAACTTTAAACATCTATTATAATAAGACATAGCTGTAAATACCACTTTCACCGATACTTGCTTTCACACAAACGACTCTGTCAGTCCAGCCGCTACCGCGACGTGACCCACCATACAAGCAATCAATCAATTATCACATTTCGAAGAGACAAATGATCCGTGCGAATAAAACACAGCAATAGGTGAGACCGTCGTAACACCAGACATGATACATAGCTAAGAAATTATGTAAGAACGTTTATACGCAGTATGCAAGCAGTAAAATTTAATTATCGTACGCAGTACACAAACAATTTGAACTGCAATCAAACCAAATAAAACGGAAACGAAAAAAAATAAGGTTGTTGTCTATAACACGTTATAACCATTTGCAGTAAATAGAAAAAAATCAATATGAACCAACAAATATTTCTCTTAACCGGCAAATTCTATGACCATTAAAATCGGTAACATTTCTAATTTATAGTCCAAATATTGATAGTTTAAACTAGTTTTTAAACTGTTTACATCCGTATAAATGGACCTATCCAATTAACAGACCAATTTGATCTTACTCTAAATAATCGCAATTTGAAAATTTATATTAATTGGTAACAAGTTCACATACTGAGTCAACATCGGCGGATCAAAATTGAAGCGCCAGTGGACCTTTGAACAGAATGAACCAGAGGTCGCGATCTTTAAATAAAACATTTACAGAAGAAGTCTTAATGGAGTATAGCAAATATGATACCATGATAGTGGAAGGTGTCAAAAGCGAATTGGACGAGAATTGCAAAAACCAACAATGTATAAGCGAGCGCAAGACGTGCCACAATGAGTATAAATGCGTCGGCAAATAGCATCGTAGGCGAATAAATTATGCAAACGGATCGTAATGACGGTAATAATGTCTTTCCATTATTTCGTAACGATCATTTTGAAAATATAACAAAGACAATAAAAAGACAAGCATATAAAGAAAATATGATGGAGCACCTTCAAAATAAGTAAACAATTTTGAGACAAATAAATCACATAAAATCACAAGTTGCAAGTGTGAGCAAAATTTTCCTACAATAAATTATTTGCATGTATTGATATAGTATATCTATCGTATTTTAAAAATAATACTATTCTAACCATATTATTTGCAGTATTTTTCGAAGTGTTGTGAATGTCTTAAAAACCTGTACATTTCATTTTATTACATAATAGCTTACGGGTCAACTATGAGATTCTTCTAATAAAGACCGACACTTTACTGCTGTGCCGGCTTTGGGTCTGACGACATATTGGGGCATAAGATGTCTGATTATTTTGGGAATAGGCACCCTTATAAACAATTGACAAGTACCATAAAATTTCACTTCAAAGTTTTATCATCCGAACAAGGTTCCACAGGGACACATCCTTGAGCCAGCATTATTAGTGTCGTATACGCTCAAACACTCTGTCGTATATCGATGACAGCAGGTCGGCGGTGACGGCGCATACGATCTGCACCGGCTCCGTTCGCTACAAGTCGGTAACGGGCCCGAAGACAACGGTCGAGTTGTTGCTCGAGTTGCCGCTAGTGCGTCGAGTGCGAGAGCTCGCCTCTTGCTCGGATTCGCTCGGCAGCGAATCGAGCCCGTTGGCCGTTAGCTGGAGACCGCCGAATTTGGAACGCAGCTGCGTAACCAGGCGTTCCAGTCTGGAATTGAAGCCCCGCTTTACATTGCAGCAGGTCTCGTACAGAGCGAAATACTCGAGCGAGCGTGGTAAGTGATTAGAGCCAGCTACGGAAAGGTGGTTTTTAAAGCTTCTAAAGGTATACAAAAATCCATTGAATAGTTATTTTGAAAGCGCTAATGTTGACTACATAAATGTAACGTGGACATCGTAAAACATATCATGCATACGAAACATCCCGATGGTTTGAATGAGGTACACGTGTAAAATGCCAATTTGGTTCTCGTTTCTTTGCCAAAAAATATTATCGAAGTTGTTAATCACTACGAAAGCATATTAACAAACACATACTATAAAGCACATAGTGTACAAAAACGGTAAAAATAGTGCTATATGAGAATTTCCGCCGACACAAAATAGCCCCCAAAGATCAAGCGATTAAAGAGTAGAAAGAAAGATTCTCAAGTAAAGTGTATGTACAGAAAAATCTATAGTAACCAATGCACCGGAATAAACACAAGCGTCATAATATTGTAGTGCCTCACTTGAGAGCATGTTCTTCGGAGCTTTGTTTCGCTTTGCGCATGTCTTCGATTTCCTTGCGCAAACGCAAGCGTTCGGTCTCGGCGTCTTCGTTATTTCCGTTCGTCATTCGGTTTTCGTTCGAGTCCGATCTGAAAAAGAAACAATCGAATCCATTCGCAATGTATAAAATGCATTCACGACATTTGGAAATACCCGCAAATTCTAATTGAACAAACAGGACGATAAATATGATTAATTTTATTTTAGCGGATGTCTGCACTCCAGACGTCTCTAGTCTCACAATGAATTCGAAAATACTTTCCATTTATTTATTATTAATATTCTTGATATTTTCTAGATACATTATTCTAGTTGTATTCATTTTAGGCAAAGAATTAGTTCAAAAAATTCGTTGTACTCGTTTTTTATGCTGTCCTTCAAATATACGTCCACTATTTGGACTTTTTTTATATTATGGTAATTCACTTGCCCTGCGTACTCTTAGCCCTTTTGGGACTAATGATTTCTTAAGCTGACATAAATGACTTTTAAGATCCCATTGTATTAGAGCCACAGATGTAATCAATTGGACCGCAAGAAATATTTATCATGTTTTGCTAACACCGAAAATAGTTTAACTACAAAAAAATCTTTCATCACTCTTGGAAAATTTGGAAGAAAACTTTTGAAGCAAAAATTATTATAATTTTTTCTTATTAAATCTTAAGCTAAAGAGATAAGCATAATTATGGTAACCAACGCACAAAATACAATTGATGTACAAGATAAGAAGGCTATAAGAAACAGTTTATATTAGGGTTTGTTTTAGAAGCCAGTAGAAGCTATACCATTTCTCTTTGCCTTTATTCCTGCAGGTATCGCAAAAATCCCACGATTCCACGGGCCAGCCAAAATCCGTATATAACAAGAGACCCAATATTAGAATAAGTCGCATCCTCATTGGCTGGTAACTAATATACAGTTAGAGGAGAATCACCTCAAGTGGCATTAGGTCTCATTTTTTTACGGACTCACCCACACCCGAAGAAGATAGAAATAATTCTGCAACAGGAAACTGTCCTCAGAACACCAGTGTTTTGTTACACAGCTGACATTCATTTTGAGTCTCACTTAATAAGGACTACTTACTCGTTGGCTACCCTCAGAGCGCGCATCTCCTCCTCGAGCTTAACGATGCGATCCATCATCCGACGGTTGTCAGCTTCGGGAGGCGCGCAGGGAGCTCTGTGGCAAAAGCACGGTGTCGTTGTGACAAACAATTAGCTGATTGGGCCCTCCCCCGCCGGAACGAGCTCGTGTTTTTTCGTAGCATCGCCGTGTCACGTTTTTTGCAACACACGCGATTTACGAGCGTATGACAAAGGATCGAAGGAAGCGGAAGTTGAGGGAAAGCTGTGGCGGTGATATAAAGATCTGGATAAAAGATACATTTTGACGATGTTAACGTACAATTATGATAGAATATAATTCGGACAAAATCGGTGAATCTACTTATTAATATTGGCACAGTGTATATTAATTAGTGGATGGGATTGGCACCTGAAATACAGGATAGCCTAGTTTGAGAGTCAAGGCCCCATTAAGTGTTCAATAAAACAGATTTATTTATTTATAAGTGTGAAACAACGATAAGATCCATTTAGAAGTCTTTCCGCGAAGCATCGCGAATGTAAAATGTTAAGTTTTGTAAATTAATCTTCGAGGAACAAGGAAATGATTAACGATAGTAAAAAACACAACAAAATCGAAGACTAGCTCGAATAGAGAAGTGCTTGTGACTTAAGAGATTTCCAACATAGAGCCGTAGTTGCGTGCCAATCCGTCTCCAGTATCGGGTTCCCGTGGCGGGCACGTATTTCACGGGCCTTGCCGCAAGAGTGCCGGGACGGCCATTAATTGTCGGCCTAATGTATTCGTGGACACGGTGTGCTGACCGTGCGTGGACTGCTAGTCTGACAAGAGGCTAAAATGCCACACAAACGTCGGCCACTCGCAAAAAACACATGTATTCAACACAGATATATTTTTTTTATGTGAGATGGTGAGAAGTGAGCTAGTGGTTTATCTTATGTTAAGTGATGACCATCGCCCATTGACATTTGCAACAACCGTAGGGCTGCGGAGGCGTTGCCACCTTGATCTCTTTCAGTTGCCTCTCAGTCAGATGAAACGCAGAAGTATTACACTCCCACTTCGCGCCAGTATTCTGTGAGGTCGTGGTACTTACCCGTATGGACCTGCTCATTTATGCAACAGCGAAGAATGTTGCGTGTACCTTTCACAGTAGATTTCAAAATATCAATGCTAAAAAGGCTCAAAACTAGATAGTCGATGAGATTTTAGCACCGTCAGGATATCGGGCGCCTTAACTCAGTATTGCGGCTGTCCACGATACTCAAGATCGAATACTGGTTTTTACTATCTATTAAACGCACGTCAAATAGACACGTTGAGCCGCTATAAAATGATGACATGGAAGAATGGGCCTGGAATTTTCATACCAACATATTTAGTGAAAAGTGCTAATCATTTCGTACTAATCGTAAGGGAAGCGTGGACTTAAATTAACTTCTTAGTATAGTTTAGTATATTTCTAAAATCATTACTTAGTACGTGTTTTTAAAATTACCTACTTAGTACGTAGGTGGTACGTGTTTTTTTCCGAAAAGTCTCAGAATAACTGAATTGAAATACAAACCGCATTGAAAGAAAGACACGTTTCGAAAACAAGGCAATTTAATCGAAATCAATCTATAGGCGATAATAATTTATCATCCACCCTTATGAGTCGATACTAAAAATCTAGTCTTTGTAAGAATAGCTATAAAAGAGTCCTTATGGAGATGAAAGTCAAGTCGTTTTATAACGACGAAAGTTATTGTTTCGTAATATTTATTAAAAGAATGTCCTAGCGGCATTTTAACAGACGCTACATTTTTAAGTGGCCCAGCTTACTCGCAGTGCGAACTTTGGATACATAATTACCGCTATTTCGTGAAAAGCTTAGGATGTCACGTCCACGTCACGTACACGTACATTATAAAATAACTTATTGGTCTTGTTGGTGGTTGGAGGATGTAAAGCTAGATGAAAACTAAGAAAGATTTGGATGGACTGTGTGAAGAATGATATGTCTGTGAAAGGGAGTGAGACGGCTGATAGAAGAAAGCGGGATAAAAGGACATGTTATGTCGACTCCAACTACTGTCAAATAAGGGCAGGAGAAAGAAGATCTTGCAATGACTATCCCAAAATCATTTTTACGGTAAAGGTTTGTAAATTATGAAAATTGGGTTTTGGATTATAAGGTTTTAAAGCCTTTTTCAATGTGGTAGGGCCACGCAAATGTCTTCGCTGTTGCACGAATGGGCAATTCCGTCCGGAGAATTACTACGACCATACGAAAGACCGCCGTGATGTGGCAGTGTCATACTATCGCGTTTAGTCTGGTGAGTTGAGTAAAGGTAGCCCACTTTTATTACAAGGTGGCAATTTTTGCAATTTTGTGAGAATTTTCTCGAGCCAGGCTTCACATAAAATAAGCTTCAAATTAAACTCCCATTCAACACTGACTACTACAAACGCCCCGTGTTAATGACGTGCGAGATGCGACAAGGTTTGCACACGCAGACAAACAGACACGTGAGCCGGCTAATTATGTTTGTTCCGCTAGTCTTGAGTCGTTGATACGACAGCCGCAATCATTACTGGCACACCAGAGATGCATCCACAAACATGTTCGTAAACAGAGAATGCGATTTCTCTTAGACTCCACGTGCCTTAGGCATTAGATGACTTATACATTGTACGAGCACCGAAAAATTTACTGACGAGTGATAGCTCAGTGTCCGGGCGCTTGCTTTTAATTAAATGTACTCGAGCAATCTTAATTCAAATCACGGTGCCGGTAACAATGAAACTGTTAATTGCATTTTAAGCGCTAACATATAACGTGCTCGGAAGTGAAGGAAAAGATCGTGTGGAAACCTACATATTTTTGTAACATATAAATTCCGCGGTGGGGCCACGTGGGGGACTATGGCCTAATAGGATCGGTACAGAGGATCGATCGGCTTTAATCCAGCAGTGGGGCATGTATAGGCAGTTACTTTACTTATATCCCGTGAACCGCGGTTTCGGTTCACCGAGTAATTCGGCACGATACAGCACTGACGCATCAACGCCGGCTAACGCGTCTGGCAAACATACAACCGATAGGAGCGCTTATGGGCACCGTTAATCGTGGCATGCGAGCCGGTGCTTAGTTAGGCACCAGTTACCCGGGCGGCGTTTAGCGCACTTGGCGGGGCATTACGGCCGCGGTGCTAAGCGGCGGTGCGGGAGTGCGTTTTTGCACCTCAATTAACTTATTACGGGCGGCGGGCGGCGGGCAGGGCGATAATGGAGCGGGCAAACATGGCCGGCGTCGGCGCGAGAGGCACCCACGCGCTGTGCCCCGGGCTCACGTGTTAGATATATTTTTTAATGTGAGAAGTTGCCAAGCGAGCAGGCGGTTCACCTGATGTTGAGTGAATACCGCCGTTGCACCCGAGGGTTGCAGATGCGTTGAGAACCTTTTGACGCGAAAGTATTATACTTCCACTTTACCCCGGTCTTCTGCGAGGTCGTGGTACTTACCCGGACGAGCCTGTCCATTCGTGCAACAGCCGAGGCTGCTGCGTGGCCCTACCACAGTTAATAATACGCTGCGTCTCTTTGGCGATGTTGAATGTTACAGGTGATTTACTATATGAATGGGTACGCCCGTCCGGGGAAGTACCACGACTTCGGAGAAAACTAACGTAAAGTGCGAGTATGATGCTTACGCGTTTTGACTGGTGAGTGAGGTAGCTGGGGTCCATTTATATACGTATTTGCAAACCTTCAGGTGTTGTAGACATGGAGGTCTACGACGTGATGGTCGGCTGTAATCATTTTATACCAGGTGAACCGCCTGCACGTATGATAAGTTTCTGATATAAAACAATGTACTGGCCGCAGACTATTTTTTCGTTAACTGTTAAGCCCGCTTTTGCTGCGTATAATGCAATGGTAATAACTTCGTTACTACTTACTTCTCAGGTACCTCGTTTTTGGACGAAACGATTAAATCATTTACATATGTTTCTGTTATACCTGTAAACCCGACATTTTTTTGCCGTTTTTATAGATAACGGTACGGAAGCCTTCTTGCACGAGTCCGACTCGCACTTGGCTGGTTTTTTTTCTACAAATGCTAAAAGGTATAATTGTTAAAAATTAACTAAATAGACTGCTATATTATGTTATCGTAGTGTTGGGATGGATCAGAATAACGAAAGTATCCTTAGATATACACAGAGCGCATACAAAGGGCATTCACAGTACATACCCGTTCGCTGACGTGGGATTATAAAATCAACGCGAGCTAAACACGGGCGGGTCGCATCGATTCAACGGAACGCGGGGCCGTTTGGTCGACTGTCACACCGTAGCGAATTGTGTTAACATAAAAACTGTGGTAGGGCCACGAAACTTTTCACTGTTAAAGACCGGCGTTAAGTGGAAGTGGTACACTTCTGCGTTTTATCTGGTGAGCGACGTAACCGGGGCCCACTATATACACTAAAGGGTCGCAATGCATCTGCAAAAGGTGTTGTATGTGCCCATGGGCGGCAGTCATCACAGGCTAGCCCACCGGTTCTGGCTAGCCCATCGGTTCTGGCTAGCCCACCGGTTCTGGCTAGCCGACCGGTTCTGGCTAGCCCACCGGTTCTGGCTAGCCCACCGGTTCTGCGTCAGATGAAGCTTTAATTCACGGGACTGAAAGCAAAAACATCAGCTAATACATGATACAAGACGGTCATCACTTAAAATTAGTTGAATCGCCAACTCGCTTGCCACATAGAATGTGAACACAAAAAAGAAATAAAAGTTTCTATTCACCAACCGTAACCCAATATGCTACTTCACTGATGTGAATTGCAAATATTTTGAACTTAGTTCCGCCAGCTTCGTATTTACCCCTTGGGCTATTCAATTTCTGCAATTTTCCGATTTTGTTCTAATCGACAAGAATATGTCGCATGACGTTCTCTACTGCTGTACTTGCACATTGTTATTGTTTTTCTGGCCCGTATGGAGTAATATCGGTAGCAACAATTTTATTAAAGACTAAGTACTAAAATTGTATGTTTGTGTACCATTAGAGAGGTGTTAATGATGGTCACGTGAATTTCAATAATTTCGGTAAATAAACTTTTACCTCTTTTTAACTTTTTCTATACAAGTTAAAGAGAACAAAAAGATTTCTTGTTAACGCGAATTGTAAATAATATGTTTTAAAATAACTAAACAAAAATAAGATTTAACTAACTCAACAATTAGAAGCTAAAATCACCCAGAGGACATTATCGAATTCATATAAATTGTAAAGCCTAACTGTAAAAACAGGTTTATTAATTAAAATTAACATATAGATAGGTATTGCAAACCAACTGAGCAACAATAATATTTATAGGCGGGTAATTTTTCCAGGCGCGATAATTGTCCTCGGCAATGGCATTGGTCATGAGCCACAGGATATATTGCAAAGCACTGGTGGAGTTTGAATTTGAAATTTAATAGAACAAAACACTGCGACGGTTCGTTGCGCTTCGGTATGACGGGCGATGCGCGCAGAGCGGGGTTATTTCGTAGTCTTTAGCGGCCTCCCCGCGCCGGGGCATTTTGAAATATGAACGGGTGCGTCGCGGGGCGGGGTGATGTACTGTGCTCGGCAAATATTGGCGGATGTAAGTGGATGGCGCTGCAGTGTGGCGCCACCCCAGCGGTGACGTCACCGCGTGCGAGCCGTACGCGCGACGATTCCGAAGCCGGTGTACGCCACTTTTTCCTTTCATGACAGATGAGGGGCGCCGGTGGTGGTGACAAAGGCACAACGTGTGTAGCGTTTCGGATGCGCTGACATCTTTTAAGTGGTACCATGCCAAAAACGAGTAATACAAACACTTCTGCTTTACACCGGTTTTTGAATCGATCCGTTGTGACAACAGCAGATACTGCTGCAATATAAACACTTGCCTATACTTTACACCGGTGTTGAATCGACCTATTTTAATGAGAGCAGTACTGCTGCACTGCTATAACGCGGTTTTATACTATAAACTAAAAGCGAAATAACGCTTTGCCGTAAGTAATACAGGATACAGTAAGTAATATAGGTTTGATAAAGATAGAAAGACGGACACTTTTGTGGTAGGGCCACGCAACAGTCCTGAAATCTTACGGGAATCCTACGGGTGTTGCAAATGTCCATGGGCGGCAGTTATCACTTAACATCAGGTGAACCGCCAACTCACTTGCCGCCATCTCACATAAAAAAAAACTAATTTGGTATCTGTACCACCTATGAGATCAGGACGTCCAATAATATTCTTTCGTAACCATGACGTAAATATATATAATCAATGCATGGACGCATGTTTGGGGCGTTTATGATATCCGGATGCGAGCGCAGGAACAGTTTTATAAAATAAAACTACCTTTCTTACACATTTTATTGCGTTCAATTTATACTAAAATTTGTAGGAAGACGCTTGTTTGTTCCGCACATTCCCGAAAGTTCTATAGAAAGAATTAGCAAAGAGCGCGCGGTTTAAGAATACTTTACAGTAATATCGCAGCGTCACTCTCACTGTATAGGGTGGACGTTGCCAGGGTTTTACCATTCTAGTTTAAAATGCAGACGCTCGACGCTCACTACTGTTCATAAATAACGCATATCGTAACGTTTAACATACACGAAACTAGGTATATGTAATTCTAGTCAACTGAAATAATTTCGTAATCGGTAAATTTTATTTGTGAACTTGCTCGAATGATTACATATTCATCATTTGACGTAAATAGGTATCTTAATTAGTAACGTAAGCAATAAAAATAATTTTTAAAATGATTGTTATATTATTTACACACTGTGATAACTGGTAAATTGAAATACCGATCACGTATATGTATCTATTCTTTATTGGAAGTTAATTATTTAAATAATAATCATATATGAAATTCATATCCTTCTATTATCATATCAGTGAATATAAAAAGCATCAAACTCGTATAGCGAGCGTTATTTGCTACTTATATTTAACTAAGTAACCATTAATTTTCCATTTAACCACAATAATTAAATTCATTTTACAAATATATATATATGATTTTTTTTAATGTGACGGCGACAAGCAAGCTGGCGGTATACCGCGGCGGATGTTAAGAGATAGCCGCCGCCCCTGGACATTTCCAACACCCGTAGGGCTGCAGATGCGAAAAAAACACGATCACACGGAAGACCGGCGTGAATTGGAAGTATTAAACTTGCGTTACGTCTGGTGAGGTAAGAGGGGTGTACTCTATAGGTCTGTAACTATGCCACCTCACAAGAGTTGTAGATGTCCATGTTGGTCAGTAGCCGTATCGTATCGTATCAGATTAACCGTCTCTAACACTTTTAAGAAGGTATTTTGCACAATAAACATAATGGGTGTAAAGGAAAATTGAATTTCTTATCTGTCAAGGAATGAAATAAAAATAATAATAAAAAAACCTACTTCATTCGACATACGAAATCAATGAACATCCCGATGAGTATTTCATAATTAATTATTGAATTCGGTAGGTTTACGAACTCCCCGAAATTCCGAGGAAAAGTCCGCGCAAAACGCGGCGACGTGGACACCCCCGCGAACGCGTCACGCAAACAAAGAGGTACGTACGGGCGCGAGGTGTGACGCAAAGGAGCGGGACAGGCGTCGAGAGCCCCTCGAAACGGACCACCCAGGTCGCAGTGTAAACAGCCTTTAATAGCGCCGAATCGAGGTGAAACGGCAAAAAATACACGCGCGGCCAAAAAAAGATATGTCCGCTCACACGGTCCCGGCGTGGCGAAGAAACGGCCGACGCTAAATAACTACATTGCGGATGGAAAGTCGACATCAGCTCCAAACGCGAAAGGACAACGGCAACTTTTGTATTGATGCTTACCCTATGTCCGAAAATCTGATATCTGGTTTTCGCCAAAAATCGCATCTTGATAAACTTACATTTATTACTTATAAAGTTAAGTAAAGAAAATTACGTTTTCTTTCCGTACTCTTAAGGTTCTAATGTCAAATGCCAATGTTTATATATTTATACATTATGCGTCCGATTTAATTTATCACAATATTTTTTTACATATACACTATGCATTTTTTTTTTTTCCTTCAAAGGTTTCTATATGTCTTTTTGTTTCTTTATTAATAATTGTTTATATTTGTAACTTTGTGTACTTATTTTGTTTTCCTTTTTTTAAACTTGCTTTTTTTTTTGTTGAAACGATGTTATTTTTTTATTTATCAATATGTTATGTTCATGCCATTTTTTTTTTTTTTTTGAATCTTTTGTGCTGTTTGTTGGTTGTCAAAATAAAGTTTATGTCTATGTCTATGTCTATGTCTATGTCTATATCAGACAGTTATGAATAATCTGTTGAAGGGATTTTTCCATCCCTGTTTTGCACATTATAATTATAAGTATAACATAGAATCAGATGCCATCAAAATACGAAAACCATCTAATAATTTACGTCTAATAAATATGATATACAAAAAAGACATATTTGTTAGATACGTAACCAAATAATTTCTCAAATATGTTATTAATGTTAAAAGAAACAATATCAGTACATAAATATAATTATGAAATTTAGTTCATACAATGAAAAAATAAATGAAATAAAAGTATAGATAAATGCAAATATGTAATCCATAATTATGATAAATGCCATATTCAAGCGTCGTTTACAAAATATGTGATGACATTTTTAGCAAGTTACTTTTTCTAAATATTTTCTAATAAAACCAGGTGCATGATTAAAATTGACGCCATCTATCATTCCATATTGAAAGTGATTAGTCGATTTTTATAGCATTAAAAGCGCCATCTAGTAAACGTTTGGCATAAATCAGGGAATAGATAAATCACTGAAAGAAATACTAATAATGAGTTGGTAAGAATATTAAATAGATGGCGTTGTAATGCACTATTTCTTCCTTACTACGTACCTTAATGTCTTCAAGTGTTCTGTCCGAAATTTTTGACTCGTTGGGCGCCAAACTATTCTGGAAATACACCATGATATGAATATTTTGATGTCATCCGTATGATTTACATATTACATTACGATAAGGGAAAGTAATCGCGATCTCGATTGTTGTTATCTGTGTTATCGAACATTTTTTGGTCCACTTTTGATTGATGATCTCATAACAGCTTTTTGATGTAAGCCGTAATCGGTTAGAGTAACTATTGTTTCAAATATAATGCCACCCACAAACAAATTTTTATGTGAAACTGCAAATATAAAACCAATTGTATAGTGCGCTTAGTTATACGAAAAATCTTCACGATTAGGGCATTACATTTTCAAGGTCACCAAGTCTAGAGCCGGGTCAAGATTTAAACTACGTAAATAAACCAGCGCAAAGAAGTGTCAGCACCGCAGTATCCAGCCTTGGGGCGGTGCCAAGAAATTTCTAGAATTCACTACCGGATACCAAAGTTAAATATAAGCAGCGAATGTCTTTGAAAACAATTAAATACAGTTACGAGCACTGTGCAATGAAATGTTAAGTTAATAATTTGGTTAGCAGTGTTGTTACATTGATTTAAAGATTAAAAATTGGTTGCAGTCGTAGTACTGTAATATTAATAGTCTTTATGAAACGTGCCTTATAAACACACAAAAAATTGAGGCTCTTAGACGACACAAGGAAGAGTAGAGCCAGTCAACAAACTTAATTACTTAACATACGATATACCTTCTCCGTAAAAAGTATACTCAGTAACTGAGCAAAACTAATTACCTCATTTTGAAACTTTTTTTTTATTCCAAATTTAGACTTTTTTTTTTAATTGTAATTTATGATTATACCACGATACAATCATCAGAAGTGGATGTTGCCTCTGACTGGTCTTAAGGACTTATTTTAATCAGGCACACAGCTGGCAGAAAGCTGCAACTTTACGGTATCCCACTGGAACGAGATTCGTTGGTACTCACGTCAAGTCTCTCGAGGACCATCGCCCTCACTCTGGCGTAGAGAGCCTCTTCCCTTGAGCGGGCTGCGTCACGGATCTCGCGCACCATGTCGGTGAGCAGTCCGGGTGGGTACTGGCCGTTGAGGTAACCTGCGACGATACGTTGCGGCGAATTATTGTATTTTCCCAAACACGGATAGTCAGCATTGGTTGGATAGGAACGAGTGAGATAAGCGGGGTACTTGGGGAACCCCTGTACATCGGTGGACTGTATTGATTGGTCAGATTGTAATGGCGATCGTTATCATTTTGTACTAAGTGACGTGGAATAACAGCAAAATAAAAAAGCAGTCATTAGTCCGGTCTTAGCATGTACTACAGCAAAGTAATCACTCAAACTATTGATTGCCTATTTGAAATTTAAATAAAATGGCAAAAGATTCTGGTGTGGATGATAAAGGCAATAAGGTAGTGCCTATTTGATATTTGAATTCTAATGGCAAAAGCTTCTGGTGTGGATGATAAAGGTAGTAAGATACACAGCTAAGCTAGGGTTTGTTCAATGTCGCCGTAATGCCTGACAATATGTTCCCGCCTCTCATTGCACTCATAATGGTCTAAGCAGCCAAAATCAGGTCAAAGCAGTCCTAGTCAATGGGATAGAGGCCAATACCTTTACAGCATCCAAAGAGGAATAGAAAGCCCGAGTGTTCCTAAAAAAACCGTGGCATTTCTATCTTTCCGTGGTCACAGTAACCAAACAGTAAAAAAAACCAAACGGCCCTAAAACTACCGATATGATTATAAAAAAGATCCTACTGTGTTATAAAATGAATTTGAATTTGGAACTCCAATAGAAATGCAACATATCAATCTGATATAAATATCTATCAAACCATATAACAGCGTGTCTTTACCATGGCGACAATAAATGAACACACATATAGGGGATAACTTTTTAAAGTTGTATTAAACATTTAAATTCTTAAACATCAATATTTACAGAGTTGTTAAATTTTCCAAAACAAAGAATTTTAAAACACCCTTACCTATAAAAGCGTAACGTAAAGTTCCTTTGTAAAGGTCACAAAGCATATGAATGGGTTTGAATGACTTTAAAAGAGACAAAACATACTGTTAGAAGGAGAGGCTTGTAATGCGACGCTGTGGCGCGAGTTGTATAGGATGTTACAAATTTTGTTTCTTTTTTACTTAATTAGTTTGTTTGAAAAATATTTTTTTTTAATTATGGATTTTGTTTAACGTTAATATTTTTTTATGATTATTGGCAAGTAGCGTTAGACGTGTGTTCATTTATTGTCGCGATGGTAAAGACACGCTGTATATGTACCTTCAAATTAGCAAGTGTTAAAAATCCAGAAATTTCATAGTTAAGAGTTTGGTAAGTTTCTTTTTGTTAAATTTTAGTTGCATTAACATTAAAGTTTAGTAGGAATTTTGTTCCCAAAGTGACATTATCGCCTCATATAAAATACATACTGATAGCGTCACATTGATTTTCGCTTAAAATTAGACATTAAAAAGTAGGCGAAAGTGGAATCGGTATATCGAGATACGCGACAGACAATTTCGAGAGCTGCATTTCTTATTTTATTGATACGCCTCCAATCTTAACGGATTTGAGCGCTGCGACGAATTGGATCGGACGGCTATGTTGTGACGCACTACTGTTGCTTGCTTTCGAAAGTTAATTTTTCTTTTTATACGAGAAGTTATTCAACGACAAGGCCGTTTATATTCTGATATTGAGTGATGAGCGCTGCCCATGAGAATCTACAGCACCTGCTGGCAACACATATATCTTATGAATGAAGGTGGCAACCTTATAAAGGGTTGTACCTAGGGTTGCCTACCGTTCTATAATATATTATAGTTTTGTACAGCATTTCAGAAGGATGGACCAATATATGTGATATAATATTTTTACGGCAGCGTGTACCCTTTATCCCAAAATACTATATTTTTTGAAAAATAAGACAAGGCGAAAAATAAAATGTCGGCAGACCTAACGGTTACATCACTTCATGCTGCAACTCCCGGCCGCATTCGTCCAACAAGAGAAATTGCTGCATGGATATACTGAAGTTGAATATATTTATACAAAAGGGTAATAATAATATCGGCTCAGGTCACATTAGTCACTATCATTTTGGGGCATATTCAAAGATCGATGAAAAAAATATTAATTTGCCGTCAATTTATAAGACGTATATGATATTAATCTAATATAGGTTGTATGTACTAAGGGATATATCGTAAAGAGCTTCGAAAATGATGCATTTTGAGGATATGTATGCGGAAAACGGTCGAAATATATAGGTTAAAAATAACCTTGTGTCAATGTATTTTTGATATCGTTTTATTGTTTGTATGCAAATGTTATACATAGTTTAATGAAACTATTTTACGGATTTTATCGCGTTTTAATTTTATTTTTAGATTCCAGATGTTTTATAATCCTTTCACATGTATTTATTTTTAAACTTCACATACTGTGGTTATTAGTCGACAGTGGGCAGAATCACATAGACAGGGCTTTGAAGCGGGCTTTCAGTAAACATGTGTCCAAGTAGATTGATATGGGTTGAAGATGATGATAATGAATGTATTGCGTAGTGAACTAGTATTGAGTAATAACAAATATAATGCTCACTCTGTATGTTAATAGGCGTATCCACGAATATTTAGGGTTATTTTATATCTATACTAGCGGAAACAGACTTCTTGTTAAACAAGACTTAAATAAGACAACTTATATAAAAAAAATAAAAAAACCATACCGAATTGTGAATCTAAACCATTCTCGAGTCGGCCTGAATACGCACAAAAAATTTCATTTAAATCGGTCCAGCCCTTTAGGAGTTCAGTGACTTACACACGTACAGAAGAATTATATATTTATATATAAAGTAGAGGGATATCTTCATGTGATATCTTCACATTACAAATTAATTTTTTTTTCCGATTGATGATCCCGTGGCGCAGTTGCCAGGGGTCGTGGGTTCGATTCCCACTCGGGACAATTATTTGTGTGATCCGCAAATAATTGTTTCGGATCTCGGTGTTTTTTCACGTGATATTTATGTGGGTATATAAAACGAAGACAATGGTAACCCATACTAACAGCTTTGCTTAGTTGAGGACTGGACAACGAATTGAAAATTATGCCTTGAGAAGTTTATTATTATATACTGTTAAAACATTAAAGATTATTGTTTTTTTTTTAAATTTACTTATTTAATTTAGAAAATTTTCAGAGTGCTTATAAACGGTTTATGCTGTTTTTGCGCAACAAAGTTAGCGTAAAAATTTCTCGAAATAATTGCGTTATGGTTGATTTAACGCAACGTTAACCGTAGCATTGTTCTAATTAGACACAAAATGCGAGTACATTACTGTGGGAATATTTTTAGTCGTACTTTTAGAAAAGTCCTCAAATTTGGGTGGGGCGTCCTTATCAGATTAAAGAAGTTTATTAATTGTACATTTGCCAAGAGTTGCTGCTAAAAATGAATAAATTTATACCCTGCGAAGTAACGTTTATGTCTAATCCAAACGATATCACACACACAGCCTGGTCCAAATTCCTTGGAACGATGTTTAAAACCACCTATAGGTAAATACATATAATATTATCATCCTCATTTCAGCCTTTTTTGCAGCCTTGAACATAGGTTTCCCCCACAGAATGCCACGGAGCACAATCCTGAGCCATTTTAGTACATTATTTTTCTTTATTGTATGTATATACAGGGTGGCTTTTCTAAAGGTGCCCTAATTCACACAGGAGGTCAGACTCGGTAGTATAATCGTTTATTGAAATAAAACAAACTTTTGTTTTTTTTTACAGAACTTGCCATTCCATTCCTTAGAAAACAGAACTTGTTGACAATGAGGTAGTCATTCATAAATGCGTCGTATACTTTTGAGACGAACTTGTGTGCGTGTTAGTTATGAACGATCGCACGTAAAATGAAGGAGTTGCACATAAATTACGCACTTTTGGAGATAAGTTGAAATGAATGTATTTAATTAATTACGAGTGATTTAAAATATTTATCATTTTTTATATAACATGTCTAGTTAATAAAGTAGTCTAATTTAATAAAAAAAAAATATGGATACACTTAAAAAAACCTATCCGTATAATTCAACATGTGTAATGTGTATGTCACTGAACTCCTCATTAATGAGGTCGAGATCGTCGCTTCGAGATAGAGAGGGTCGATTTAGATTCACAATTTTTTTTAAGTTATCGGATTTAAATCGTGTGTGTAATTCTATACGAAAACTGGCAGCTGTTGAAGGGCTTCTTCAGGTGTAAACCGAACATCCTACGAGCGTAAGAGTAACTGGGCGTTTCATTTTAACTAACTTCTGTCAACGTGATGAAGCAGTCAGTCCTATGGTAAATCAAGAGTATAGTTAATAAAGGCACACTTTTCAATCTATAGAGCTTTGCGTCTTATACATAACTGGGTATTCCTTGTATTTAACATTTACGTATCTGATTGCGAAGAAGCAAAGCGAGCGCAAGCACACGAGGTTATCTAGCCGGGTCGCATGTTGCACGCAACGTCGTGGTCTATTTGTATTGCATCGAGCGATTAGCCGATAAAACTGCCAGTCTTGTTTATTAACGAGTTTTTATCACCTTTCAACCTTTTCCGACGATACTTGCCGGTAAGTAAAGAATAATGAGATTGTGAAAAAAAAAAATACTGTCTACGGTTTCAGCGATGATGGAAAGCCGTTTAAAGAGATTACATAAGACTTAACAGTGATTAAGGACGATATGCGACTTTTGCTAAGACAGTCGCGTGTCGCGTTTGTTCAGTTAAGTTGCGATAAAGTCGTCGCACAAAAAAAATACGACGTTGCCGCTATAACAATAAATACTAAAAAAACAGAATAAGAAATATTTAAGTGGGGCTCCCATACAACAGTGATGATTTTTTTTATAGATACGGAACCTTTCGTGCGCGACTCCGACTCGCACTAGGTCGGTTTTATTTGTTATTATTACGAAAACATTCAGGTTTCCTCACGATGTTTACCTCTACCTCTGGGAACGCGATGAGTCAGCACTTAAAATTGCAATTAACAATTTGATTGATCGGCACCATGTTTAAATGTCTTTTCTTTAGTATTACACCTACTTCTTGGCATCATCCAGTAGGTTGGTATAGAATGTCTTACGCATTTAGTTTTATGAGAAAGAAATATACAGCGTATCGTAACCATCGCGACAATAAATTAACACACGTCTAACGGTACTTGCCAAAAATCATAAAAAATATTAACGTTAAAAAAATCCATAATCAAAAAAAATATTTTTCAAACAAACTAATTAAGTAAAAAAGAAACAAAATTTGTTACACCTACCTATACAACTACAACTGACTGATTCATACATTCAGAGACTTTTTCATCACAGCGTCGCTTTACAAGCCTCTCCTTCTAGCAGTATCTTTTGTCTCTTTTAAATTCATTCAACCCATTCGTATGGTTTGTGACCTTTATAAATGAACTTTACGTTACAGTTTTATACGTAAGGGTGTTCTAAAATTCTTTGGTTTGGAAAATTTAATAACTCTGTAAATATTGATGTTTAAAGAAAGTAAATGTTTAATGCAATTTTAAAAAGTTATCCTCTCTTTATGTGTGTTCATTTACTGTCGCGATTGTAAAGACACGCTGTATAACCTAAATTCGTGCATTTAGTTCAGTCTATCTCTCAAATAAAACTCAACTTGAAATTAATGTCTTACGAACTAATTGATGTCTTAAAGTGCGGCGTTTGTGTGGCGTGTGATAGGAACAATTGACAATGACATTTATGGAATTCCTAATGTAAAGTAAAGCCTAGTAAAGTAAAGTACTCTCTAAATCCCTTCCGACATTTTAATAACATACAGGTTTTTTATGGCAGGGCTACGCAGCTGCTTCTTATGTTGTATAAATCGGCAGACTAGAAATACCACAGCGTCACAGACTCGCATGAAGTAGAAGCATTATACTTCCGCATTTCGCCTTTCGAGTGAGGTAACCAGGGCCGAATTTCTAACTAGTTGCCAACGGATCCGAATCAATGAAGATGACCCAAGGCGGCGGAATCACTCGACTGTTGATCAGCCTGAACACTTGCAAACTTTTCACTTAAAATCAATAGTATTCGTAGCAGACGGACATAACGCAACGAGGTGGCATCAGATAGCGTAGTGTGCAACGGGGCTTATGCCGAGATGCGGAGCGGAAAAAAAAACTGGTGCGTACTCCGATCGTTCGTTAACTCTTCACGCGGAGAAAGCACCCATTCAAGTGACGACGGTAAATAACTTCATTGCGCTTAATTAGCTAAGGCGACCGGCTGCTTTCACTGGATAGCGGCCGATTCCAGCGTTCCTTTAGTTTATTTTTTCGCAACGGCGCCATTTTTGTTATCTACCGACAATTTAACCAGTATGTTCAGCTTTCTGATATTTTGATGTCGTTTTCGAATTAGGTAAACATTTTCGAACGTATAAGACAGATATATAGGGAGACTGAACATTGGAAGTTATCGTACAATTCAAATGAAACAAGGAACACTTAAAATTATATCCGGAAAAAAAACCCGCACTTTTACGCATAACACTATCTGGATACAAATATGTGCAATGTAATCTTTATATGTTAAAAATTTAGTTTCCATATGTTACTTTACACAAACATGATGGGTTGACTTAATATTTGTTACAGAGTGGCAATCGAACAGGAGAGTATTTTTATTTACTTTTTAATCCGAAGTTCCAACGGTCACGAAAATAAAAACGATAGCGAAGCACCTAATCCTACCAGTTCAACATAAAATAAGAAGACTAATCTGAATACAACATACATACAGTATTCATAGCGTGCCATACATTATTTAATTAGCCAATGTGAACAAATTTCCTGTTTTAACGACTAGGATGGCGCAGTTGTCCCGCGTTAGACTCCGGCGTCGCGGGTCGTGAGTTCGAATTAATTTTTGGTATGAAGTATGTCATTAATTGTTCTAGTATTAGAAAAGAAAATATTAAATTCTTATATTATTTTACGTTTAAAAAAACATGAATGATTGAAGTAAACTACTCACTTGTAATATAATTATTACGACGCTAAACGCCATGCTATACATTGCTAACCAATAATATAATTCACTTCAATTATATTATTCTTAGGTAGTAAATGCAATCTGTCTGTAATATTCTCAAATAAATATAAATTTTCTATGTTTGCCCTTTATGCGGTCATGAACTATTCTGTCTGTTTGTGATGAGACTTGGTGAGCTAATGATGATAATAATAGTTAAAAAAGAAGACACAAAAAACATTCTTTTGTAGATAGCCCAACTAAAATAATTAAAAATAAATTTAAATTACGAATGGTGATTTACAAAAAAAAATATTGTATTTTAAAAAAGCATGAGGAGCTTCGTGCCAATTGTTATATAAATATTTAATTGACAAATGTTGGTAAAAGTGGAGTCGATATGAAAATATCTTAATAAGCACCCCATGTTTATTTTAAAATCAGATGAGGTTTCTCTCAATAACTAACTACCGGTAACGTAGAATGTAAGAGAAGAACGCACTACGACCGCAAGGAATTGGAACAAGAACTTGACGACGATAAGATCTTTCAATTAGAAAAGCCGCGTACATAAGGAAAATATGCCAACCGAGTTATCGATGCCCACCTATTTTCATACGACAAGTCGACAAAGATAAATGTAGAAAATAAAATAAAGGGATAAACGAAGATTATTAGCACATATATTCGGCAATTGCTAGATGTAGAAAACAGATTAAAAAAGTATTCACTACTATAAAGCTACATATAGCCTATTATTTCTCGCATCTATCTCGTACAAGGTAGATTTAATAATCTCTTGCAAAGATTGATAAGACGACTGAGCTAATATCTCTCGAGGTCGATCTTTGATAGAGAAAAGTACATAACATAGGAACGGGCAATTCACGTAAACTAAATTATTTACAGTTAAAAAATAATAAAAAAAATAATTATTGTTAATACTTCTAGAAGAGCTTTAAAAATATATAATTATGTATATGAATATAAGTGTTATTGGAAAAACTTGCTTTAACGTGTGCTTAGTATATAATATGTAAGTTAAGGACAATGCATTCTTTGATTGTCAATTGTTACAGGCTATTCAGAATCAGATTACATTTTTGCGCATTTTGTTTGTGCGTAAAGTAATACGGCTCACTATCTCATTCAAACCAAAAAACGTTAGTTGACAATACAGTATCGAATATGCAATGTAAAATTTTGTTACTAATAAATATAATTTTGTTACTAATATAATATAGCTAAAGCTTATAAAAATCTTTATTTATATAACTCTTCTATGCGTGTGTATGTCACTGAACTCCTCCTAAACGGCTGGACCGATTTTAATGAAATTTTGTGTGTTTTTAGGTCGATTCGAGAATGGTTTATATGCACACTTCCGTCTATTACAATTGTTTTTATTTATAAGCTGTTGTCGGCTGTAAGACATGTGCGTGTACACGACAACGTCTGTCGGATTCACTAGTATCTAATACATACCATATGTAATATCTAAGTTCAAATAAATTCGTGGTGAGTTTATGATAAAATAACGCCATAACAAGAATTAATTAATTTATATATAGTACATATTATTACGAAATGTAATTCGCAATGAAGAATACTTGTCAATCGGCAGTTACAGGGCGGTAAGTGAAACATTGTCAAAAGAAAGCAATTAATAAATAAATAATTGAATAAATAAATATTACTGTTTTTATTTCACAATGCTATCCTATTCCCAAACTATACGAAGCTTGTACTATGGGTAATAGGAAACAGATAAAAATATTTTTCTTTTGTAAATTTATACTTATACAGCGTGTCGTTACCATCGCGACAATAAATGAACACACGTCTAACGCTACGTGCCAATAATCATAAAAAATATTAACGTTAAACAAAATCCATAATTAAAAAAAAATATTTTTCAAACAAACTAATTAAGTAAAAAGAAACAAAATTTGTAACATCCTATACAACTCGCGCCACAGCGTCGTATTACAAGCCTCTCCTTCTAAACACTATGTTTCGTCTCTTTCAAATTCATTCAACCCATTCATATGCTTTGTGACCTTTACAAATGAACTTTACGTTACGCTTTTATAGGTGAGGATGTCTAAAATTCTTTGTTTTGCAAAAGTTAATAACTGTGTAAATATTGATGTTTAAAGAATTTAAATGTTTAATACAACTTTAAAAGTTATCCCCTATATGTGTGTTCATTTATTGTCGCGATGGTAACGACACACTGTATAATATGTATGTATTTATTTACAAATCAGTCATCACGATCAAAAACTGAACCCACACTTCATCATCCACTTCACTAGTCGGATGAATAAAGCAATATATAAACCTTAAAGCAGAAACATAAAACACAATGTAAAAGTTCACATTTAAACCTGTAAAGTGGGCGAGAGATATTAGCTTAAAATGTGTGAGCTGTTCATTGGGTGTGGCTGAGTGTGTGGCATTCCCAGGCGGCATATATAACCATATATATAACCTCAGTCAGGTGTATAAAAGGCAATTCGTAAATGTCATAACAGTCAATCCTCTCATGCAGACAGACAATAAAGGTTGGTGTTTGTGTCATTCGATGATCATTCCCATTGTTACCATTACATTTAATATAATGCATATATGGAAACAAAGTTTTAATGATGATAAAGTACTACTGAGTTAACCATATTGATAGTTTTCAATTTGACTTCTAGCTTCCTTTAAATAATCTTAATCATAGTAATAAAGCCTTCAAAATGCTAAACACCGATAAATTGTTTTATTGGTCTGGGAGCAATATCCCAGAGCATGCGGCATAGGTAAATCTTCTATTCAATGTCATTGTTCGCGCTTCCTTAAGCGTTGAATTCTCCTACAGATACGAAAGTAATGACCATCAATAAATTGATGAAACATGTTTTCTTTAATCTATAGACTAAAGAAAAGCTAACATAATGAACAGTTTATGTTGTACATACCATTACTGTTTAGTGGGTTTGATGATGCAGCCAAACCGGCACTCTGAGAGTTCTGTATAAATGTACTTTGGTGACGCAGCATTTCCAACTCGGCTGAAAGTATTGTCAGAAATTTATTAAAAAAAGTAAAGTAAAGTAACAGCCTATTAATGTCTCACAGCTGGGCACAAGCCTCCTCTGTACAGAGGGTATTAGACTATAATTTTTTTTTTCACTTTTGCAAGCTCTAATAGACCTTGAATCAGGGTTCCAATGTGATGAAGGGTTGAACAACACAATTTCCTACATCAGTAATACCAGATACTCTCAACTATAATCTTAACACATTAAATAATACTTAATATATAACACTATGGAAGTAAATTTTATCAAGATATCTTGGAAAAAATAATTAAAAATAAATTCTTGAACATATATGAAGTCTACCATTCCACAGAGGGGCCATGTGCTGGATTTAATCATACATGACCTTTTCTCAGCAGTGAAATGACATTTAGGCTGTTACTTTACTTTTTTACTTAGATATGGAGAAATGATAAATCTCACAAATTAAGTATCATTGAAAACAAACACTAAATAAAGTAAAAAAAGTGTTTAAATAAAGTAATATTTAAGTATATATTAATTTATTTAAATTATACTAACACAAAATGCTTTTCTTTAATTAAATTATATAAATTAAATACCATTCATAAGTATATTAAGTATTTAGCCACATTAAAGGTTCTCTATTTTTTACCCTTGACTAACTTGTTTATGTGGGCATTCATGCACAGACTATTAAATTTAAAAATTGTTATGGCCTTAAATCTAATGTAGGCGGCAAGGTTATAACAAACAAAAGTATTTTATTATGGCTAACTACATAATAAAAACAGACCAAATATGATAGGAAAATCTACTTTATATAAGATCAATGTAGTGCAGAAAATACATAAATATTGAAAAATAATTATTTATTAATTTGTTCATTTGTTTATTTGCACACTTTACTGTACTAACTGGTAGAAAAGCACGCTCAATGCAATAATGGATTTTCTACCAGCCAACCGTAAAGTTAGTGAGAGTACCATCTACCTAATTTATAACTTGAAATGTGTTAGATAAAATTTCAAGAATTAAAATTGCATGACATATACTATTCTGGAATATGAAAACTTATTATTAATAATAAAAAAGAAACAAAAAGCATTACGTAATAAATACAATGACAACACAATTTAGACAAGTTAATGTGTTACAGTAAATGCAGAAATCATAACAATTAAATGAATTGAAGCAATTTTGATATTAAATGAAAAGCATAGAATATTATTAATGCAATGAGAATTGACAGAGGAGGCAATATTATTCTATCACCCATATCTATGTCAAAATCATTACGCTCTTGAATGACAATACACTTGTTATTTGCAGGTTTCTAAAAATGCTTATTATACAGCGTGTCGTTACCATCGCGACAATAAATGAACACACATCTAACGCTACTTGCCAATAATCATAAAAAAATATTAACGTTAAAGAAAATCCATAATTAAAAAAAAATATTTTTCAAACAAACTAATTAAGTAAAAAAGAAACAAAATTTGTAACATCCTATACAACTCGCGCCACAGCGTCGTATTACAAGCCTCTCCTTCTAACAGTATGTTTTGTCTCTTTTAAATTCATTCAACCCATTCATATGCTTTGTGACCTTTACAAATGAACTTTACGTTACGCTTTTATAGATAAGGGTGTTCCAAAATTCTTTGTTTAGGAAAATTTTATAACTCTGTAAATATTGATGTTTAAAGAATTTAAATGTTTAATACAACTTTAAAAAGTTATCCCCTATATGTGTGTTTATTTATTGTCGCGATGGTAACGACACGCTGTATATATATCGAAGCAAAATTAAAATATATCTTTTGTTTACATATATTTACTATAGCTTTATGAGACAAGAACTCGCTTATATCTCAGTTGTAATATATAGAAGTGAAGTCACATATTCTAGCGAATTCACATTGCCATTTTTGTATTAAGTTTCCTTTTTATTGGATATAAAGTAAACTATACAATTCAGCAACACAAATATATTTTAAAACTCTCACCCCTTGTTTCCAGTAGTTCCTTATTGAGCTTTTCATTAGCACTTTTTAATGATGTTATCTGGTCAAGAAGACATGTAAGCAACCGGCTACCGACTTCATTCTCAGATATGTCAGAGCTGTTTTCTGAAACTGATTCAACATCACCATTTGCTGGTCTTGCAACATCAGGTAGGCCTTGCACACATGGGTCACTGTACCTTCTACCATTATTAGCATCCCCTTTTTCAGCCGTATTTAAATCACTTGTTGAATTAGTATCGCCTATGGATGTCACTATTGGTGGCAAACTTGCAAAGTCCTGATTATCAGAAGCATTTTTCTGTTGCAGGTAACTTGTATGGCTTAACATACTTTCAACATGTTCCAGAGGAGCACTCGACATTTCTTCTGCTTTATTCTCGTTTCGCCTCCGTTGTCTTGGCCTACAGGTTTGTTCGGTTTTCGCGTGATGAACGCATCCATATCCAGGGTTATAAACAGGATGTATGTGGGAATTATAGTACACCGGAGGTGTGGGTAAAGAAGCCGGTTCAGGTAAATAGCTGTATAAATTGTGTCGGTGTGTTTCATGTCCAATTCCAATGTGGGAGTTACTCATCGGCCAATTCAAATTTGGATTGACAAACGAATCATATGAATCCAAATTCACTGTAGACTCCTGAATATGACGCATAGTTTTGTCCAACCATTTAGATAGATACGAACCTTTGCTGCTATGGGATTTTTTTCGTTTTCCCAAAGGTCCGTTGGCTGGAGACTGAACACTGTTTACTTGCTTCGGTGTAGATGTCATGGTCAACAAGCGAAAGACAGAGAAACTATTAAGCAAGTAGGTACTATAATCTACGCTTTCAAAATTATACGTAAAGATAATATTTATCTCATTTTACGAACACTATAACACAATTACGTTGACCTATCGACTCGGTTGACTTGACAGTTGACTGGTTAACGAACGGACAGGGTGACCGTCTCAAAAATGGCGAATCTGCCCGACACTAGCAAAAAATCTGCCAAAATCAACTCTAAAAAATGCCAAAAATATGCCATCATATTATATCGTGTAGTGCAGTATAATTAATTAAATAGACATTGTTTCGCATCAGGCATTTGACATATTCTTCTTGGTCGTTCCCTCGATGTTTAGGATCTTGACTACTGCTAAATATTAATAAAAATATCCGTAATAGCTCACTGTCCGGGCGCTTGCCTGTAATTCAATATTCAATTTTAAGTGCCAAATTATCACGTGCTCAGCGGTGAAGGAAAACATCGCGAGGAAACCTGCATATTTTTGAAATTATAACAAAAAAAAAATATTTCGAAGATATTTGAAGTCCCCCAATCCGTAGTGGCTGATTTCCTCTGTACAGAGAAGCCTTTGCCCGACAGTGGGACATGTATAGGCTGATACTTTAATAATAAAAGTAAATAACAAGACATAAATATAATAATATGGACAAACAAATTTATTTAAAATAATAAAGATTGCTTCGATATCTGCCAACATTTGGTACCTTTTGAATCGTCAGTCTAATCTGCCTCAGCTAAAATTCAGGTGCAAAATCTGCCCAAATGGCAGAAATCTGCCACAAATGGTCACACTGCGAACGGGTTACTAAACTATATTAGTGATGTGACTTATGGAAGCAAAAAAGGGTTTCAGTTTTTTTGTACAACAAAAGTATTATAATAAGTTACATCGTAGATACGAATATACATTTTGGATTTTATTTAAATACTAATATCACCGCTTCAGAATATTGAAATAACAACCACAAAGTGATCAAATTTTCTTTTACTTAATAGTTTATAAATATATGAATTTAAATTACTTCTGAATGTGTTTTTTTTTTTTGGGTTATACGCATTGCACGAAATGCATTTTATGCATGAAACTGCGAATTATATTTTTATTAATCACTAAGAAGAAGAAGAAGAATAATCACTAAATAATGTATTATTTTTTATAATGTTATCATCCATGTCTCTATTTGTTGATCAAAATCATTGTGGCTTAATTAAAGCTTTTTGTCTGGTGGGTTAGTTTGTCGGATGTCCTTAATACTCCCCACCCCATAAAATGGAAAAAGCCTGCCAATACGAGTGATTCTGGAGAATGCTATCGCCCAGGGGGGTCCCTGGGCGATAGCCTTTCGCTGCCTAAGCGCCTGCGTAGGGCAAAACACCGCTCTCAAATCCCTTTGCTCAAAGCAAACGTAGCAGGCACACTTTGGCATGCCCTACGCCTACGCTCACTGTGGATTTATGTAACATCAGTTTCTGCAACTCCAACCTTAATGCCGACCATTACTATCTAAAGATGATAAAGCTGACCTTGTTGCTCCTAACCGAGACTAAAATATCGTCTCCTGCGGACACATCCAAATCATCCAATCTTTGATACCCCGGATATACGTTGAGAACTTCTTTGTACTTCGGGCTAGAGTTTGTGTCTATGTCAGAGAAAATATATGTTCTCGTTGTCTCGGCAACCTTGAAAGTATGAATCTTTCCATCTTATGGCTGCGTGTAGATAGCGACGACCATCTCCGCGCCTATGCGTGCCTACATAGGACCCACAGCGGTGATATCAAGACAGGCCGACTGATTGAACAGGTAGCGATACACATTCAGTTCTGCAACAATTCCCATCTGCAGACATCGTGATCCTCGGTGATTAGAACGCCCATAACGCTGAATGATCACCACTGATCATTCGGGAAGATCTTAACGACACGAATTAACTTTAGCAAATTATTTAACACAGCAAGTCACTCCGCATACGCGGATTGCAGAAGTGTTAGATTGGACCTTCTGTTGATCACTCATCCGGGCAACTATCAGGTCTCTTCAATGCCCTAGACGCGTCAGAACACTGTTAGGTCTGGAGCGTAGTGCCCATTACGCGTCCAGTTCACATGCGCTCTGCTGGTTTCCGTGTAATGCACTGCAGGTCCCCGGACTGGGACGAGATGCGGTCCTTCCTTTTACCTCATCCCTGGAGACAGGTTTGCTTCTCACTGGATGATCCTAGCACCGTCACCGATGTGGAGCTTCACAGAATGGAGATTTTTAATCTCTTCTCTGTGGTCCCCTTTAGTGGCAAATTCTAACCCGTTAGTCCACGGTGGCATGCGCCGTAAGCAAGGGTCCCAGTGCATTACAAAGTACAGTGCAAAGGAGTACAATTTTGCCTCTAGTTCATTCAAAAGAACCGCCACATTAACAAGGTCAGAGTATATTGGGAGGATTGACGAGAGATTAATTCGCCTTCCTTCGAGAAATCGTGTATTCTGTTCTCTTGCTAAATCTATTTACAGCAATTACTGTATGCCATCCTAACCATATTTGCACAAAGATGACTCGTTTGCTTACACCACAAAAGAGAATGCCGACGTTTTGGGTAATTTTTTTGCGTCTAACTCAACGTTGGATGATAAAGGGAAGGAAAGACCAAATATCCCGTGGTGTGCATGCAATGCCATACATCAGGTTTCTTCTGAGTTCTGTGCGTAAAACACTTTTCTCCTTGCCATCCAAAAGTTGGCACCAGTTTTGTCTAAGGAGTAAGAGTGCCACTCCATAGATATTGTCCCGAAATGGAAGACGGGCTTATTTACCAAATCCGAAGAGCATTTTTTTAATACCAACATTGTCCGTCTTACATCAATCCTACATGCTCTATGCTTTTTACGACTTGTTTCTTTTCAATATTGCAGTTTTCTTACTTCTTCCTAATGTAGTATTTTTAGCACTCCTATTAAAGTTGACGCGTCTGCTGCAGTAACACCACCTTAATTTAACGCCATTCGACACTGATACATAGAGTAGGTTCTCCTTACCTATATCCTGCATAATTTAGATCATGCTCGGCAAGTCAGAACCTTTTTTTACACTAATCTAACATTGTTCACACTTCAAAATTAATTTGAAACAGTCAACAGATGTCACATTAGAATTTTGACAAGATTCTCTGAATTGTACGAATCCTTTCTTTAAGTCTGAAACATTATTTCTACTAACCGAATGATTGAAAATCGACAATGATTATTGTTCACTTATCAATGATATTTTTACATTTTAATGACGATTTTTACTTTAGGTTATCTGCCGAATTAATGAACAAACATAATTATAAAAATTATGTCTGGTAATCCACGAGGTATTGGCGTCGGCGTCAGTGGTCGTGGGTTCGATTCCCACACGGGACGACTATTTGTTGTGACCCACCGATAGTTGTTTCACATCTGGGTGTTTGTGCGCGTGAAATGTATGTTTGTAAAAAGTTCTCACAACACAGGATTACACAGAAAAAAATGAATTATCAAACATAATTTTTATAATTATTTTTGGTGATAAAATCGGCAGATGCTTTACGGTGGTTATCTCTTAATAACAGAATTTCTTGTGAGTGTTCTTCGATATACAATGGGTTACCATGATTTCCATGTACTTTTACATCTTCGAGAGAATTAATTTTTAATGTACAGTTAAAACTATACTTACAGGCCGATGTAAAAATAAATAAAACAACGATTACATTGACAGAAATTTAATCTCAAAATATATAAAAGTATCTGATTTTGTATTTATTTACACATTACATTTCGACATACAAGGTTATATCGAAGAAATATAATATTGATTTTGAAATACATATAAATCATATTATTTATCCAAACATAGAGTACGTAAACATTCTATGGCACATTGGCGGTCACCCATACCCCATTAAATGATAAAAAACGATACCATAGTATGTAACATCGATATTCATATTTGCTGTAGATTGGCAATAGGAGAAATTTATCCTTAAGCGAAGAAGAAAGTATAATAAAAACTATAATGAAAGATATAATTCTTTAACGAAATACCTACATGCTAAAACAATTATTTTTACGTCAAGGGTTTCTGTGAAACGACGATTCTACTTTAGATTTTGTGTTTTCATTTCATTGAATAACAATTTCAACTTAAAATTATTATTAGTATTATTTATGTAAAAATAATCTATCGAGATTATATAAACGAAAACAATTGCATTTGATAGATGTTATCCTTATAGATTGGACTTAGCATAGATTGTACTTAACGTGTATGAATATTTAAAACATCGACCCATGTTATTGGCGGCGTTAGGTAAAATATTGCAAATTAATAAAGCGCTCTAGAAACATTGGCGTGAACAAAGAGGAAAATAAATAACAGTGGGATAATAAACATGTTTATTCGAGTGCGTAGGAAATACTTTGGTTAATATACACATTTGGCCAAAACTTTTTTGATATGCTGTCTGAAATAAAAAATTAACAATGTACAATCTGAGAATTTGATAGCTGTCATGAGGTAAAATATATTATTTTTATATTGTCTTATTTTCTAACGAGTATATGAAATTTGATCATAACACATAATTGATATAATCGAAGGTCCATCATCGTATACTTCTCGACGCAATATTTCCATGTCACCTTATATCTTCACATATTTATTGTGTGCTACCTATATAAAAATATACTAGTTAGTACAAAAATCTGTCATATAAACCAGTTTACTTTCTATACCGATATCTAAATATACTTCGATAGTCTTAGAGATATAATATGTCGTATTTGTCTCTTATAATATGTCTCGTAATATTTTTTATCAATTACGTTCTTAAATTACAACCACACTTACGGACTAAGCAAAGTGAAACAAATAATTCTATTGTATGTTCTACATCGTCATGCTTTGACCACATTCATTCTAAGTCACATCGTTGTATCATATAAGATTCCACCCAAAACCGCAATAAATATAATGTATTATGTATATATATATGACATAAAATATTCTGTTGTATAAAAACTTCTTAAAAATCGTATTACAATGTAGTAGGTAGGTAACTAATCAGACAGAATCTACGTGGAATCCCTTTGGATTTTATTGTTTCTACCCTCAACGACCCAGCGCTCATTCGAGTGATTTCTGTCGGCAGTGAAATATTTCGAATTAACAAATATATTTCTAGTTTTCTATTGGAATGCTCGTGTGGAGAAGCCAATGTCGGCCGGCAAATTAACGCGTTTCCACGACGGTCACGGTTCCAACGCAACGCGAAGAAATCACTCTCGATACGGACGGCCCGGCTGGGCACTAGACCAGTTTCACGTCATCGAAGGCCGTGAGCAGGTCGCCGGCGCCTTGCATCACGTCGGAGTCGCCCCAAAAGTCCGGGGAGGGTAGGGGCATCACGTTGTCGAGGACTTCCGGGTGGAGGGGGAAGCCGGGGCTAGTTTGCATCTTGTTGCTCAAGTACGGGTCGTAGCCGTGGAGCATGCTAACCGGGGACATTAGGCTGCTACTCGGGCTGTAGCCTTGGAACGCGCCCGCGGGGGAGAGGGACTGCGGCGTGGAGTAGGGGCTGAGAAGGCGCTCCCTTTGGGCGGGGCTCACGGCGGGGCTGGTGTAGCTGGACGTGTTCGGGCTCGGCGGCAGCGAGTACATGGGCGAGCCCACGTTCAGGGTCAGCGGAGACATGGGGTGGGCGCGCGTTTCGCCGTCGACCGCGCGCTCGCTCGGCGCGGCCTGTATTATGTTGATGACCGGCACGGGGATGCTGCTGCCGACCGCCTCGAAGGGGGGCCGCATCGCGCTCAACGCCATCTGTTGATAGTTCCGCGACACCTTCGGGCCGATCTGCTGCGGTAGATCCTGTAACGCGCGGAACACAGAGTCAGAAAGTATAGCAGTCGAGTGGATGTATGAATGTAGGTAAACATGTGCACGTTTTTGTTCGACGCTGAGCACGCGGGACGAGTATTAGCTTTAACCTTGACTCTGAGTCTTAAATGGCATCGACCGCGAGCCGCCTATCAACAAACTATCGGTTATTAGACGTCAAAACAACGAAGCGCGTCGCTTATTCGAATCTTAGCAGTTACAGTGTACTAATAAGAAATTCACACATAATACTCGTTTTTATACATGCATTACGACTGTTCAAAGTTAGTTATAACTTACAATATTTCTTCAATCCTTTAAACATAGATATGTTTTATTATTTTTCGAGGTAGTGCTAGAAAATACTATTTAACTTCTTTTTGTTAATTATATAGTTGAGAACACCTCACCAATAATTCAATACTATGTAGATTGTCATACATATACAAAGAATAAGTGAAGATATTATGATGGTCTAATAATATCTACTCCGCTTCGTTTCGATTAAAATGTTTATTGTACCTAAAACTATTATTTCTATCTGAATCAGATGAACCGTTTTTTTTTACTTTATCGTAAATATATCCCTTTAATTTCATGGCCATTTGTTTGTTATGTCTCTCCTTAACTAATTCGGTCGAGATAGTCACCGTTCCTAAATTTATCTGGGCTTGTGGGCTGCCGTTGTAGAGATTTGAGGGGATTCAAAGGGATAATGATGATATAGGCTATGGGATTCAATCAAAGTTCTTACTTTTTTCACCGTTGTGAACTAACGATTTTTTTTTTCAGTTTTTATGTATAGTATACTGATTATCTACTTATTTTACATTGATTATCTAAACTGATTATAGTGTTAAATTATTTCGAATAAAAACTCGAATAAAATCATTACATACGCAAATACTACTAAAATTAAGAATATTATACCATATTTAAATTGCACTTATTAGATTATTAACCAAGTAAAAAAAATCCAATTTCAAAACGATCAGCGTCAAATGTTCTAGTTAAAATATATTGGCGCTTCGTAAATCGAAAGTCAGGGACAATTAAAAAAAAGGAAACAGATTCAGAAATAAACGCGTCTGTGGCGGGAGCACAGATAAAATAAAAAGCGGGTCCAATCTCGTCGGGTCCCTAATAATCATGGTGTTAGATAGCTTTACCCGCAGCGTAGTAATTGACGTTTCCGTTATGTCGGGGACTCCAATTTTCTAGCTGCCCCGAGGGAGACGCTTATCTGACCGAAGATTGTTCGAACGTATACATAGTTTGAGGACATTTTACAACCAGACATATGAAATACGATATGAATTGGGAAAGATGTAAAAAGCGCAACTCGTTCGAGGTAATCGTCGTATTAACAACCACTATCGAGAATATATTTTATGTTGGGAATGACGGAACACGATTACGATTATCCTGAGAGATCTTCCGCTGTTTTTTAACAAGTCTAGAGGAATTGTACATTTCTATGCGCTTTTGAAAAGAATCTTCAATCATAGCCGTGAAGGCTGAAAAACATCATCCAATAACGTTAAAGCCGAATCGAAAAAAACTCGCAAACATCTGTGAGTTTTTTTCTTTCAAAATCGCGCAAAATTAACATTTATTTAAGTGAGATTTGAAAGAATAACTTCTGTGCTACAATAAGGTACGGTTTTGTACATTTTGTAGCTTAAACAAAATTTTACAAACTTACAAATTTTAAAAAATATTCCGTTTCAAAAAAAGGACCAGACAAAGTCGCGGGTAGAGGTTGGTAGGTTATTGATATAAAGGAACTTGTTCTTTGACCTTTACACCGGTATGTATTCATTGCGAACGTTTTGACCGTCATTTCGAGACAGCTTATTCCAACCGTTTCAATCGTCCGAGGCCAGAATAACCCCCAACTGTATTCTGACGAAAGAAATTTTGTTTACGAGGGTAAAGAATCCTTTTAGATATCTTAATTGATGAATACTGAATTTAAATAATAAATTAAAAAAATAATAATGATTAAGAATAAAACTTTCTGATGAAAAAATATATAAAAAAAATGAATTACTAAATGCCCTGTATAAATATTTTTAAGCAGAAATTATAAAAAATAATAATTTAACTAAACATATGTAGGGGAATAATATTTTAAATCATTTATTGCAGCATAATAAAAAAAAATTTTAAAATCACTCTTAAGGTGCAAGTCTATCGTTTTACATTTATTCCAAAGAGGCGAATATATTGTTAATACCGTATGAAATTTAAAATCCGCCAATTGAATGTAAAGGTAACTTGTGTATTCCTCTGGGAAAATAATCGTTTTGGGCATCGTAAATTGGTCGAATATTAATACTTCAAGCAAAAATGATTTTTCCATCGCTGTCATTAATTTGGCTTCGGTTCTCTGCGATTTGTAGATATAAGTGAGTTCAATAAGCGGTACAGAAACATATGAGACTTCGGTACGTCGGAATAACTTCGATAAGAAAGTGCCCTAATTCAAAATACTTCGAAATCCACGATTGGTACGCGAGACCATTCCGCACGAGGAATTTACAATAAAGCTTTGATATCCCACGTGGTATGTATCATGAATTGTAACATGGCATGTCCCAATATAAACTCTAAAGCGCCGTTGGCCGTCTACTCGGTAAGTTGTATTTGACAGAAACTTGGTGTCAAAATATCTATAGTACACTCGGAATATTAACCGCATTCTGGGAGCTAATTTCGATACTGATTTTATAGCTCTTTGTTTATACTAATACTACAGTTCTGATAAGTTTACTCTAAGACCCTTTAAATTAAGTAAAAGTTAATTTATTTCTATGCTTTACCAACCACCTAAATGAAGTGTTTTATCCAATTCAGGGTTGGGTAAAGCAAACGTATGTAAATGTCTATCAAACAAATTGTCCAACAATTAATCGGTAAAAAGTTTTCAAGCAAACTATCTTCGCATTGTGCTATTACTATTCATTCAATATAATGTGAATATTGATTATTATTATAACTTTTAAGGCCTATAATAATTATAAAGAAAATTTGCGTATGTTTATAGCATGTACATTAATGTTACCATATTAAAAACTTTATTGTAATTGTGTGTAAGAACAAAAATGTTTGGTGTAACGTTTTCAAGGCTTCATTTCAAATATACAATAATAAAATGTAAATTATTATATAGCGATAACAAAATAGTAATGATCTCAATAACAATTCTAATGCCATACTTGTAATGGTTCATAATTTTACGTTAAAGCTAATACTCGTGGGGTCAGGAAAGGGATTTGGTGTTTTCAGGGCAAATGAAATCAACGTGCACATGGTAAACTATTTTCATACTCTCTCTTTTAATATCTGATATAATCTTTTTTTTTCAATAAAATTGATTAGCAATCCATATATTTCACGAGAAAAATATTTCTTCTAATCACACACATCGTCCGCTTAAACTATAAAGTCATGAATAACGATGATAAACTTTGCTTTTATCACTACATATACATAAATGTACGTCTTTTATAAACATAGTTTTTAATTTATTTTCGTTATTGTTAAATTTACAAATGGCCGAATACATAGTAAAAACTACACATTGATCTGATAGCTGCTAGACATAGAAAAATGTAGGTATTAAAACATTGTTCACTACAAACATTACCACTAATTATATAAAGATATAGTAAAACGTTACCAATTCATTAGTTAACATAAACTAACAAAATTTATTTCGAAAAAAAAAAAAATACAATAAACAAACAACAATATTGTTATATGTATTTGGCAGTGAAGACACTGTAAACTGCATTTTATAACCTCCCACAGAGCGCTCAAACTTATATTACTATTAAACTCTAGTATACAAAACTGCGTACCTACAGAACTAATCGCGAATAGTAGAATCGGACTCGATAAAAAAAAAAAAAAACACTTACATAAAACAACCGACACGTTACCGAGAAACAAAACTCCTAACAATAAATAAAGAGCGTACATTTTCGCCATTAGTACAAAAAAAAAGTAAACATTCTAAAAAACTACCAACATAAAACGAAGCGCGCGGCTAAACCGTCCGAAACAACGAGTAAACCTAGGCATAGGAAAGAAGATTCAACTGTCCGTCACATAACCAGGACGATATGCGCACGTTAAACTTAATACTAAGAAAACAAAGTCTAACGATTGCTCTCAACACTACGGGTAAATAGTATTAATATATCTCTGAAATGCGGCGCAATAGCCACTGACTGGCAGACAGGTCTCTGGAGCTACATGGATCGATCTTGGTCACCCACTGTATAATAAATACTCTTTGCTGAAGCCGGGGAAAGAGATTAAAAACGATATGGCTAAGGGATATCACAACATCGAAGACGCTACGCGAAAAATATATTTCCTTTTTCGAATCCTAATTCGAAATCCAACGTGGCCAGGGTATTCCCCGGGCCACGCTAGAGACACTGTCGGCTGTACACTGGACGTCCGTTATCACAGTTTTTCCATACACCGCACTGATCGGCTTAGGCTTTCGCTTTGGGGCGCGGCCGGCTCTGCACCATGCAGATGTAGCCAGCGTCGACGTCGCAGCCGCTCACCAGGAGGTTCATGAGGACGCTGGAGGAAGGGGTGGTCGGCTCCTCCAGCAGAGACAGCGGGGAGGGGCTGCGTTTGACGCGCTTCGCCACCGGCTCCTCCTCCTGTTTCATAACCCTCTTGACTCCCGTATCCCACGTGGAGACACTGCTGTTTGGAATAAGACCTGAAAGGAAAACTCAATGTTAGTACACGTTGCTTGTCCGGCGTTTAACGCGACCCTTATGACGTTTTTGTACCTTGGTCGGAGTATATATTCGTGATGAGATCCTGTGGGGGTGGGCCCGTTGGCGCCGCGGCGAGTAGACGCTGCAGGGCTGGCGCCGCGGACACCGCCGCCGGCTCAGAGGGCTGGGGCCTAGCCAGGCTCACGTTGTCGGGCAGCGCGCCCCACATGACGGCCGACTCGAGAACGGGGAGCTCATCGCTGGTCGGGATGAACGGGGAATTTCCATCGTCGATGTCGTTATCGGAACGGCCGCTGTCGAACGCGTCCAGCGTCAATTCAGTTAATAGCGACGACTGTTCGCATGACGATTCCGTTTCCTGCAATTGAATGGTTCATTAGATAAACGCTCGTTTCGTACTCCGTAGCTCGTTTGAAATGAGAAACGGGTTAGCTTATTACCTGAGGATCGGGCGAAGACAATAAGGAGTCGGCGGTAAGAGAATCAACAGGCGATCCGGTCGCCAAATCGTCGCCGAGTAGGCTGCAGTAGTTGTCGCTCAAAATGAACTCGTCGAACATATCGAAGGGACTGTTCTCCAATGGTATACAAGCATCGCCCGCTGTCGGGGCCAAGTGCGTTAGGTCCTCAGGCTCGTCCTTGAGCACTGCAAGAGATTACGTTCGTAATGTATATTGATTCAAATTGTTCGACAACAAACACAATAAAGCAAGCAACGGATACCTAAGCTGTGGAAGTTCGTGTGCCACTCACTTGTAAGTCCCTCGTCTTGGGAGAACATGAGAAAGCCTTTGTTCATTTCTTTCTTTCGCGGTGCGAATATCAGTTCTGTGACGGGTATTGGTCGCTCCTCTTCTGGGAGGATCGCGGCTACTATGGCACCGTTCGCGGCCTCTGGGGCCGGTTGGCACAAGGCCACAGGCGTCGCCTGCGGAGCGATATGGGCCACGGTGGGTTTCAAGTCCGCATGCCGCACCTGGTGCGCAGCGAACACCTCATCTCTGCACTCGATACCGCTGCGAACAAAGGGAAACACATGGCAACATTCTTCACCTAGCAGGTCTACCGCCAGCGGGAACTTCCATATACTGTTATTATATTATATAGAGTTATGTGGTGCTCGCACGAGGTGATAATGGAAAACGAATGGCGTTCGACGGTGAAACGTTAAACTTTAAACGTTAATTGGATACGCGAACGTGCGACTCGGAGAGTGTCAATATTATACATGTGTATGGCGCGAATGGGCGTCAACGGGCAAGACGTTGTGTGCAATTGCGAGCAATCAGCCAACAATACTCAAGGTCGATGTTTAAACGGGCTCACGCCTAGACTCGTACATAACGCCACAGATAATGCTAGATAACGTGAATTTATTGGGGGTTCTAGTAGTCACAGTACCGGACTAATGCAAAACAATAAGAGGCACAAAATTTACGGCGAGAATTTATAGGTTTGTAATGCCACTACGATAAACGCAATAACGATAAATGTTAATGGACGCGTAAAATCCGACCGAATCCTTAGCGGAAACGAATAGATATCTGATATTGGAATACAGTTAAACGCCACAAATAGCCTACACCCATAACAAGGATTAATTATTAAATGTCAGGCGTAGATAACCCGGCTGCCGTCCTACGGGAAATATTTACATCTACGTCAATGGTCTCAAATCTAAATCGCCGAGCGGTTTGATAAGACAAGTATCATTGAGATTATAGGGTTCATGTATTAACCCTAACAACAGAGATGAAAGATACAAATAAGCATGTCGATCGCATACACAGCGTTTGTTTAGATCCACCATTACATATAAAACGCAGTTATGACATAGGAGAACGCGACACAAACAACAGCACGTACACAAACCAACGCCAGCCAGAATCGCACCGCGCCGTCGGAGTAGACTTTACTTCGAAGGCATAAATAAAGTAATGGAAATGGTAAAAGTTGGACGGACCTTATGTCGATGTTGGAGCGATGGCGACTTAAGGATTCGAGCGACCGATGACCGCCGTTCCGCATGTAATAATGACGCAACGCAAAACAAATCCATCACACAACATAGCGATCCGTTGTATAGGATCGGGGGAGGCTGTTTTGTTGCACAAGTGCATTTTATTCGGCGTCGGGATCGATCCGAGAGGGACGGCGCTACGGGGCCCGTACGGTGCAGAGTGGGAGGGCAGGATGAGCGTAGTACGGCCTTGCCGGCGACCTTGCATCCCCATCCCCCGACTCTCCCTCCGTCGGCCATTCATTAGTGGGCATTTTGCGCGCGCAGCAACAACAAAACGCTATCGATTGTCTGCGATTCCGATGCGATATTCGCATCCGAAAGTGACTACGCCGAATGCGCGTCGCAAACATGTAATGCATTCCGCACAGAGCGACAATTTGCGATGTGTTAATGTTGCAGACGATGCCGATAGGTATTTAGTAGCGCCGTCAGACCGCCCGTGTAGTCCCCATGTCTGACGTAAAAGGGGACATGGATTGGGAGCAGCATGAAGTAGCCTCGAGCTGCTGCAAGATGGCGAGGGAATCGGGGAAGGTTTATCCTTCTCCGAGGCGTGCTCACGCCCAGTACCGAGGGACACCGGTGTGTTCCGTAGGAGATCCCAGTGATGGCCACCGAGGGGGTTTAATGGGTAAGAACCCCACATAACCCTGTCTTCGTATCTTACGAATATTTCCCCCCGATACAAAAAACAGATATTTAGTAGCGCCGTGTGTGGCGAGTACATTAAACAGAGATTTAGTTTCATAATCCCCTTTACGGGTGATAGCGTACCATCGCTTCAGAGACGGCGGTTGCCGGCGACCTTGGCCGTGAAATCCGCCAAACGAGTAACGCAATTCGTCGATTACATCTTAGGCGCAGTGAAGGCCTAATGACGTCATGACGTCTCATTTCACAGTCGAGACGTACTACGAGTGCTCAGTACCTGAGCAGATAACTACCAATTATTTAAATGAGGAGTGCATCGTAGACATGTTTTGATAAGATCGGATCATTCGTTGCCTGTTTGCGGGATTGTGGAATAAAATATTAATTCGTAAGACTGGCTAAAATTTGAAAAGATAAATGTTTCAGGAAGGTACTACAAAACTCTTACATCACTTTGTTTGTACAAAACTAATATTTTCGTTCAATAAGGAACTATCAATTAATATCAATCTATTATTCAACAGCAACGTAACATTAAAAGTTAATAGAAATCAATTGATAGTGAAGATTACGAGAACGATGCGACCGTGGATAAGGCGTTAAAATAAATAATGTTGTGGGAATTCCGCCCCCTTTTCCATAAATTACAATTGCACCTATATCAAATTTTCAGTATCGGAATATAAATGTAATAATATAATCAGAAGACCATCAACAACTTTCGACCGCACAAAGTCGTCAGTAAGGGCTCATTAGCTGGCATTAAATTAATGAAGTCAAATAGAATCTTATTAAATAGTCTATAAGGCTGAAGTTCGTAAATAACTGTACATAATGCTCGTTGTATGTGTAAAAGAAAAATAAATCCGCTTATAACGAGTCTACCGAGAGATTATACGTATAGTGCGCAAGCCACGCCGCGTCGTAGACTGATAAATATTTACAAACTCCTCACGGCCGCTACTGATAAAGTTGCTTTCTGCACACAATAATGCTTCAATCAACCGACTTTATATCGTGGGCGTAGAAGGAAAACCCGCTAAGTCCAAAATTCGTCATTTGGAGATAAATGGGTTTGAAAATTCAATAAGTCGTGAAAAATCGCAATCACTAGCAATTAAATTTGAGATGTATTTATTGGAAAGACACGAACTTTGAGAAAATCTACACGAAGTGAAAAATACAAAAAAAATCATAGGAACAAGAATTGAGTACAAGTTTCATTACAAAAAAAATACGAATAGGAACTAAGTTGAGGTGGGACGAATTTTGGGATTAAAACTGATTGAGTCGGGGCTCTATCAATCATCTTGTTGATCTCCCTCTTCTTCTTTAAAGTATAATTTTTTTATGGAGACCCGGTACTCTACTGCAGAACCCCCCAAACATTATGTGGACGCAAAGAACGCATTTTTAGCCAAAAATGGACTTAGCGGGTTTTCCTTCTACGCCCACGATATGTTGTTGATGTATGTATATAAGACAAAAAAAGTTACAAGCAAGACGCTACAAAAAAAAACCTTTTTTGCAACCGTACAGATTTTTATTACAGTTTTTCAAAGAATATTTTGTTTAAATGCATTTAAGATATATATATTAAAAGCAGTGCCAATGAATATTTTTGAGTACGCTCTTCGCGGTTTCATTGCTCCAACAGAAAACTTAAATTGTTTTTGTGCCGAGTAACTCTACATAATTTAAAAGTGAAAATCTTCACATACGACGAATTCGGCACAGATGCCAAAATGCACCATGATTTAACTGTTATAATTTTCGATATCGACTCAATTCCATCAATAAACTCGATAAAACATTTCTTCATCTGATTTACATAGCATTATGCTAATAAATTATCAGCGAAGAGTGATTAGCGTCTATTGCGTTATTTATCAGAATAATTTAAGTATTCTATCAGAGATGCGAGGTGATGATATCGTTATATATACTTAGTTACTTAGATTTTTTGTTAACGGATACTACGATAACAAATCCACCGTCTCGGGGTAGGCCGACGTGGTGGGTCAATAGATATAATTGAAAGGGATTCAAAACAGGCGGTGTCACTGTTGCCTGCGATGCATTATGTGGGCAACCGCTCAGAGAATCGGCGCGGGAGTCAAGGCCGACGGCGTGGTTACATAATCGTCCGAGTGCGGCGGGGGACGCGTTCGCTAATTTTAGCGCCTCACGAAGAAAAAAAAACAACGGCGAAACGCAACGCCGCGCGCCGCGTCGGGCGACGACGACGCACCGATGCAACACGTTACGCTAATATCCACCAACCGCTATTACACCGTATCGGGAGCGACTGGAATAGCGCACGGCGCACAAACAACGCGCAACGCTCGGCAAACTTCCGACGGGAGGTAGTCGCGTAGCATCAGAATCACGCGATCGCTCGACGCCCGGCATCATCACATCGTATTGGCCGACCGCGCGACGGTAGAGCATTGAGGCGGGCCGTGCACAAACACTGTATCCACACTGTTCACACTCCCGGCTCGGGCACTGTTGTGCTTACCATGATGGGGCGAAACGTTGGCGCTATGGGTTCGCGTGTGTTGTGCTACGGCGACGGGTGCACGCCGGGGAGTTGGACGGCGAAGCGGGCGCGGGCGATCGCTTTCGCGAACAGCTGATCGTGTGAGCGCTCGCGTTCCGTGCGGTCGGGACGTGTGCTCGGCGCGGAGTCCGCTGTGCGAATGATACGCGACGTAAGCGTAAGGCGGCGGCGCACTGGTGAGTTAGTGACGCGCCCCGCTTGACACACGCCGGCTTCGCATCGGGCCCGTGATATTATCTCGAGGGTTGCCGCGACCGACGGCGGCGAATCTACACTCGGCGGGCACGCGGCCCGACGGGTGCCCCCCTATCTCGATCACGTTCAGGTTAATGAGACATCGACGACACTAGCACGTCTTAATCGGCCCGCGCGGTGTTCCTATGCGCCAAAAGTTTATCGCTGACGGAGTGATGGCAAGAATCAATAGTAAAAAAAAAAGAGCAATTATCAGCTACAGTAATAACAGACGCAACTGATGAGCGGGTTAGGCCGACGGTCAAACTTCCAAAAGTATTTTTTTCCTTTGAATGTGTTTTCAATTAAATGTATAAAAAAGAGTGCTATCAGCTCAGGTTTTAGTTACTCGTTTTGTTTTTACAACAATATGTTGTATAATAAATAGTTTAGTTTAGTTGTGATATTATTACGGAGCAGTGTCTGTCGCTACTCTACTTTGTTCCTTTGCATTTTGACTAGTGGGAATGGCTATCGGTGCCCACTCTCATTAAGTTTGGCAACGCATTTGCAAACCGTCCATTGGCGGAGTTAATCACTTTACTATGAGGAGAACCGTATACACATTTTAAATGGGAAAACCCATATGAAAAGAAAAATCTAGCAAGATAACGCTTGATGCTACGTTATCCATTTGATGAATGCACAATACAATTTTTTTCTATATTCCGTTACTAACTGTTCTAGGAAATACGTTATCGCGTCAACAGCTGTTTCGTTATTACTGTATCACGAAATAGTGACTTAGAAAAATGGGGTTCGGGTTTTTGCCCGACCGTATACAATAAAAACAGCGTAACATTAACGTTATGTAATTTAAACTGTAACAAACAACAAATCTAAGTATTCGTATTAAAGAGAAACTAACGGCAGATCAATATATCAAAACGGGTCTGTGTGTCGGTCGATCAATTGAAGCTTTCACTCGGTACCGCTACGAAACTAGGTTCAAGATGAAGGGATAAAGGCAATAATATATTAATTCTGTGGCCCGAGATGGCCTTAATTAATGATGCACATCGTGATGCAAATGTTAAGAAAAATATACGATTGTACAGTTAATGTATCAGTTAATTAGACTCTTGAGTTACATAAGATAGAAGTCGATGAATATATTGACTATTGTTGGCGCAGTCGCTATATTGTAGGTGGGACGTTGCAGGCGTTTTCGATCCAACCGGGTATACACAAAAGCATTTTAATATTCCTCAAATTATATTAACCGTGTTTGCTCTCGTCAATATGTATTTTAAATGCCAGTGCACCACGAGATAAAGATTGATGGAAAATTCCAGAAAGAATCGTGCTCAAGACGGCATTTCTTACCATCAGGTGGACCCTATTTGCAATAAGTAAAGCTCCAAAGAACATAAACTCACAATTTAAAGGTACATTAAGTATTATTTTTCACAAGAGCGAGACGTACGTTGTATAAGAATATACAACTTTAAACGCTTCATAACTTACAATAGATAGGGAGGCGTTTAGAAGATGCATTTTGTTAGCTCTTCACCTGATAATTTACTTTACGTCTAAGGATAGGGCTGATTAAGCTAGGTGCGCGGGGAGTCGGATTACCCGATACGCTTGTATGAAGGCGCGTTGTTCCACAATTTAGCCGCGTAACACAAAACCGACCTCTAATGGACGCCGGCTCAGCCACTGAACGTTGGGGACGGAGTCGGCTATGTAGAATTCACGCATCGCGGTTGGTGGGAATAAGGAGATGGTGCCACTACAATAGTTTTCGTGTAAATGTATTTTTGTTTCCATGTGGGGCCATAGCTGAACGGATTTGAAGAATTTAGAATGATGACAGCTATTAAGATTCACACTAAATAGGCTAACTTATTCATGAACGGCCGGTTTCAGTACACTATCTATAGATTATATTTGGTTACTAATGATCCATATTTGAACAAAAGATCCATGATATTCACGTCAAAATTCTATCTCCAGTAACCAAATATATCTGTGGTTAGAATATTCAAACCAACTGTTCGCGATCGTGAACAGTCGTGTACTACTATACTTTTGGTCGATGAGGATTGACTTTTAAATACGTAAAACCTATATTATTATATGAACTCACACCTGGGAATAGATATTAAAAACTCAACTCACCGTCACGCCAATAATAAACCCAACTGACACAATAACTTAACAAGTACGCAAATGATGAAACTCGATTTTACTTGGGCGATTCATCAAAATGGATGGACTAACGCGTTTATTAGTAAAAGACAGGATTTCGTATATCAGTTACACTATAGTCCATCGTATGTCACTAAGCCTCTACGGCAACGGTACTTCACCAACTGATGTTAATTCGCGGGACGCTCACAAAACGGGCCCGTGACTAAGCGAACGCCCCTTACTATTGCAGAAAGATGTAACAATTTTTATTCTGACGTAATACAAACATAAAAGAAATTAGAGTATACACTACTACGCTTTTTATTATCATACAGCCTATTAACTAGTAAGTATTGAATACTGTAGAGACTGATTTAGGATTTGTATTCGGCTGACGTAATCTGTGGCGCAATTACTTAGGTTAATTACTGCGGTAGTTAGTATGGTCATGCGCCATATTTATTAAAAAATCAATGAACGTTATAGGTGGTATATGGTACTGTGGTAGGATCTCGCTACAGATTCTGCTGTAGCACGTATGGGCAGGCTTTCCGGGGAAGTACCACGATCTTACACGGGACCGGTGTGAAGTGAAGGTACTATATTTTCGCATTTCAACACTTTTTTTTAATGTGAAAAGTTGTCAAGCGAGCAGACGGTTCACCTATGTTAAGTGAATACCGCCGCCCATAGACAACTGCTACATCCGAGGGTTGCAGATGCCACCTCACTCACCAGACGAAACGCGAAAGTATTATACTTCCACTTTACGCCGGTCTTCTGTGAGGTTCTTTTTTAAAAGTTGTCAACGCATCTGCCACCCTTCAGTGCCACATAAAAAAAAACTACGCCGTAAGAAGAACACAAATTCATCGGATGGTGCCACACCATTCATTCATTACATGGAGTGCGAAGATCAACTGGCGTTTTAGTTCATTTTCATAAGCCATCACGTACAGTCAAGAGCACACCAAGCCTGCCACATGTAGACCGATTGTAACACATTTGAAATTTGACTTTTAAAGCCCATGGATTTTAACAGTCCTACCACCCTATTGTTACGCAACTGCACGTAATGCCCATCGAAAAGTTCAGTTTATCTTACTTTTGTAAGAGTATATATATATACGCATGTTTGTGTTAATATTAATTATCATTTGCTGTATACATATTTTAAGTACACACCAAACAGCATTTACTTGAAATAAGCAGCCTCTGTGCAAGTTTTCTGTGTAACGTTTTTATTTTATACATCGACATGTGTGTAGAGACGGCAAATTAAAGAATAATAAAGATAAATCACAACTCATTTTCAACGAAAGGTGGCCTCTTCCACGGTGTGAAATGAATTAGACGCATCAAAATGAAAAAAAAAAAAAAAAAAAAAAAAAAGGTCGTAGTGTATCTTACTGTATCGTGGCACCATTAATAACGTCTCGATGAAAAATGACCCGAATAAATTTGTAGAGCAGTTTCTTTTCTTTTTGTTTTTATGGACGAAGGTGCCTATAAAACGGACGGTTCAGCTGATGTTTAACCTTTAAGAGAGTGGTCCTCAGTTACCTCAGTCAGCGGACGATATTCAAAAGCACAAATACCTCAGTAAAAAAAGCTATGCTCATATTTCATATGTTGCTATGGTATTTAAATAACATTATCTATATTTAGAAGAACGAGTGTTGTTTGCAATAAAGGGGCACCGGTGATAACCAGTATAACCGGCAACCGCGTGGCGTGATCGCGTACGGGGAATCACGAAAGCTATGGCGCCATTTTGTCTAGCAAAGTCTACTCTACAAGTGAAAAAGTTTAAGCATAGCGCTGCCAATAACGTAAAGGGAAACGATTCCAAAATTTTCTGTCTCTAACTTTCCGCAATTAACGTTATAAACATGGGATATCGAAATAGATGCTATCGTGGGTGATAATGTTTTATTTTATTTATGCAATGTAATGGTTAATATAATAATAAAATAGTTAAACTACAACGAGTCGATAATACATCAGTCAAAATGTCATGGAAGCAGAAGAGTATCGTGATTTCTTTTATTTACGCGATTACACATAGTAATGTAAACAGTTTAACGTAAACAGTTTCATTTAGTAAAATGAAATTGATTTATCGCGTTTATTTTTGTTAGTCCCTTTACAGCGTTCATGGACTGTCCCGTGACCATGAACGCTGTAAAGAGTTCGAAACTTAAAACCGTTGGGAATTAAAACCGGAAGCAGAAGAGTTCTAATATTTCGTAAGGAGAGGTCATATGCGTTAGCGTAAACCATTTTTAGCTGAGAATATAATAAAATTAACATTAGACATCTTAGTTTCTAAACACTCAAGTCTTAAACTCGTCTTCGTTGTGTAAACTTTCCTCAACATGTGCTTGCTCATTTTAAAATTTATTCGTCCCTAGCTTCATTTGAATTTAGTGACGCGAATTGGTAAAACCGATTTGAAATTCACCTCGTATTTGTTACATGTCCACTTCGCTTATTGGACTGAAAGTGTTTTTTTTTTTCGATAGTGGGACTGATAAATATAAATTCGTAAGAGGGACACGCATATAGCGCATGTCGATTCCAGGTCAGGCGCGGCTTGCGAAATGCAAGACGCAGATCGCTGCTGGTCGCGAATCATTATGCAATTAGGGCCGTACTCGCCGGGGTTCGTTGACCCGACTACACCCCCGATTTCCACTCGCCTTACGTACATTCACGTGCAAAGTTCGGTGCACCGTACAAAAGGAACTTGTGACATTCGCTATAAGCAAGTAACAAGGAGCGAGGCTATCAAAATTTTACACTCGACTGTACGTGACTCGAAGAGCGTTATCCAATGCGGTAGCGCCTTACATCAGCCTCCATTACTAATCATTCGGTGTTTTAGCGAGTACCATTATAGCGGAGTCGTCATCACACCACTAATTCTATGCGTCGGAACGAGGCAAATCGTTTCGTTTTTAATGTACTCCTATGAGTTTCAATAACTGTTCAAATCTTGGGAGTTTCGGTAATTTGTAATTTATTTATTTCGCTTTATCTCGCAACTCGGATTCGCTACCATTAATAAATGAAATTTATATTCCATAGCAACCAATCGATTCCCATACGGGGTACATTTTGTATGATCTTTACAATTTTGTTACTAGTCTATACTAGGTGTACTCTGCGTTCATACTTTTTATGTCGGTGCAACATCTCTTGATATATTATATCGTAGTACGGCAGTTATTGATTATATTTAGATAGAATGTACTGATCACATCTATAATTCATTAAGCCCTATTAATTATTAAGTCATCAAAATTAAAAAAAAAAATCTAAGATGGAAACTTGTTATGGAGTTATTGGTTCAGTGATTTGGGTTTGCAAAACATCACCAAACGCACGTATCAGGCGAGGGGCTTATTTGATGTATAACTTCGTAGCGCAGTTACCAAGGTATTGGCCTCGGCGCCGGTTGTCGTGGGTTCGATTTTCACACAGGACAACTATTTGTGTAACCCACAGATAAATGTTTCGGATCTGGGTGTTTGTCCGCGTGAAATTTATGTTTGTAAAACGTCCTTGCAACTTACGATAATATTACTACAGTATGTTTTCAAAGAAAAAGAAATATAACAAAAATTTTTTATATTCAGAATTAATCAATCGTTTTGGTGGCCTCCTATCAACATTCGGCACAGCGGAATTCGAGTAATCGATGATATAATTGCGCAAATTCGCGAAACGCTAAGTACTCGAAAATTGATTGCTGCATTCTTTAATAGTATTGTTCAAACAGTCAAGGCCGGAGAGGTGTCACCGATTGTATTTAAATGTGCTTTCTTCACTACATCAATTCTACTAGCCCCTGTTTTATAAGACCCTGTGTCCGATGAACCATTCTAAGATTCGTATATCCCGAAGGTATTTGGAACTCTTCTAGTCTTTTTTTTTCTTGCTTATTTGCCACTTACTCTATTAAATAATGCGCGTATATAAACTATAAACAAGTGCAACTGCACGTGTAATATGAATGGTATTTGAGCGGTGTGTCATACTTTATTTCGGTATGATGGTGCGCGTTGAGGAAAATTATTGAATCGTCGGTCTTAAGTCTGGACAGATAAGCTTACGTGACCACATACACGCGGCCCGTCGAATTCGACGAACTACGAAAGTTGCACGCTATCCGGAAGGCTGCCTGGGTGAGGCAAGTCGTGCATTTCTGAGGCAAGTGTGACAAGTCGGGAGGCAACGGTGAACAGCGAATGTAATTAATTACCACGCCACATGACTGAAGTACGCTTCCTTTTCTTCTACTCACGCTACGCTTCCTTTTCTTCTACTCACGCGAATCTATAATAAAGCTAAAGAGTTTGTTTGTTTGAATGCGCTCATCTCTGGAATTACCAATCGGATTTGAAAAATATCTTTTTGGATTATATAGGCCAATTCTTGAGGTAGGTTATACCCTATATACTTAACATCATGCTACTACCGACCGGGGCGAGGCAGGAATATTTCTCGCGGATGAAATCACGGATGAACAGCTAGTATTTAATATTAACAAAATTAAGGCCGAT